AGAAGCCAAGATCGACGACAGGCGACGAGATCGACGACAGACGCCAAGATCGACGACAGGCGACGAAATCGACGACAGACGACGACAGGCGACGAGAAGATCGACGACAGGCGACGAGATCGATGACAGACGACGAGATCGAAGACAGGCGACGAGATTGAAGACAGGCGACGAGATTGAAGACAGGCGACGAGCACGAGATCAGCAACAAGCGACGAGATCGACGACAGGCGACGAGATCGACGGCTGGCGACGAGATCGACGACAGGCGACGAGATCGACGACGGGCGACGAAAGACGACGACAGGCGACGAGATCGACGACAGACGGCGGTCGACGACGATCAACGACAGGATTCATCGACGACGGACGACGATCGGCGGCAGACGACGATCGACGGCGGACGACGATCGACGGCAGACGACGATCGACGGCAGACGACGACCGACGACAGACGACGATCGACGGCAGACGACGGCAGACGACGGTCGACAACGATCGACAACGATCGCCGGCGGACGACGATCGCCGGCAGACGACGAGGATCGCCGACAGACGAGGAGGCCGGCCCGGCCAATGATCCACAACCACCGCCAAAAGACACCGAAACAACGCCGGCAGCGGTCTTTGGGATTTGCTCCACTGTGTTCCCGCTTTTGACATAGAAAGGGGAGGCCGGCCCGGCCGACGATCCGCAAGAACTGCCAAAAACCCCGCGCGCAGCCTGCAGGAGCGGGCGCGACTTTGGATCTTCACCCCGGCACACACCCGGGGCGTCTGCCAAGTTCCTAGTTTCTCCGGTTAAGGGCGCCCGCCCCTCCCTTAGTGCTGTATGTAATAGATGCCCTTTCCTGGGCTAGTATAACCTTTAACCATTTATTTTGATGAGCAAGAGCCATACTAGAACTAGGTATCATGGCAGAAAGCTCCGAGCACCATGATATATTCCTCGGACTTACGCTGCTGGCGTCATCTTGAGGGCGGCAGGTCGTCGTTGATGAGCCTGTGCTCCACGTCGACGACTTAGATGTAGCTAGCCTCAGGCCCACCGGACCTCGAAAGCGGTTTACCTGCGGGAAAGAAATGACCATAGATATTGAAGGTCCTCTGGTATTGGGACAAAATTCTAAAGAACAATACAAGTTTGGAGATCGCTGATTTCTCTGCACTTGAAAACGAAAATCTATCCCAATAGTTGTGCTGCACCAACAGGACCCTTATCCTATGATTCCAAGCCCGGCCATGCAACCGTAAAGCGCATCATTAGGAAATTGCTTAGAAGGAAGCAGCCTAAGAGCCTGGCAGGACTGGCAACTTCGTGTGTTCGTCAAAAATCTAGCTCAACAAATTGGAATGCGTTATAAGCATGTAGACGACCTTAGAAGTTCAAGAAATATTTTGAGACTACAAAGTTGAATGCGTTATGATGAAAGTTGGTAAACGATGAATACAGGGCGCACCTTTATTTCGCTGCGGCGCGAGTCGCGTGAACTCCCCGAAGACGAGGCAGCGGAGCTAGCCTTCTGTCTTCGCTCTACACCTTGTCGATAAAAGAGCCCTAAGTCCTGCTTCGGGAAGTCTCGGCCTTCCTTGTAGTAGAGCGCATGAGTGACCTTGTCGCGCCCTTGCCCGCTTTGCCTCGTCTGTGCTTGTTCTGGTTGAAAAGTGGCCCCTAGCATTGGCGGACCACGTGGCCCTCGCAGTTGCTGGCCTTCGTGTCGGCCCTCTTGATCTGCTTCGAGTCGTGGTGCGCCGGCCACTCTGGCAGCTAAGAATGGAGGCGTCGCGGACCCTAAGTCGGTAGTTCCGCCAGCTCCTGCTTCTTCTGGTCCAAGAACTCGCCGCGCGTCTGCTGGTACTACAAATCCACCTATTCCTGCTGTATTGTGTAGATGTTGCAGGTGTCGCGTTCCTGGCGACGTCATCGACGTGGTGAATACTAAAAGCAAGGAACACACCAGGTATGCTGCACCAGCACAAATTTTTGCACTGGTGGAGAAGGACGAGAATGACGCTGAAAAAAGTCGACGCCGTTGCCGTGCTGATAAACGAGAACTGCTCGTTCGACAGGACTGCCCGAGGCACTCCTCAACAGACCGGCGAGACCACCCAATCCTGCTTATTTTTTTCGTCATCCTTTTGATCTTCAAAAATCTGAAGAAGTCTTAGTTATAGATGCTGTCTGTTCAGCAATAGTTGAAGTTGTACTTCGAGTAGTTCGTGATTATATTATCATCATGAATGAAAAACATTAACAAAATAGTATGCACAGAAAGACGAGTTGAGAGTGTGTTGCTTCAAAGAAAAAGCTAACTCATTGGACATCTGTAAAAACCTTGATAGGATAGGAGGATAGGAAGGGAAGATTGGAGCGTGGCTATCCTCAGCCATATGGTTAGGCCGCTACGCTAGGTTCGTTTAGGTTAGGTGTGGGTCTACTAGAAAAACTAGCAGACATGTAACCACATGAATTCATATTTATTCAATTGGAAATCACTTTCGAGCATGTACAACAAGAACTAGTAGAAACAAAACGAGTCTAAGTATCATGAACTCCGGTCTTGTCCGCATGTTGAAAAGTACCAGCAAGCAGAAGGACGAGCACGAGATAAGTAGTATGTTGATCATTCTCATTGTCATTAACTACTGACAGGGCCTTAGGAGATGATAGAAAGACCGTTCACCCAATCAACTTGAAAATTGAAGCCATATACTCCAGCCAGAAATTATCATCTTCATTGTCCACTTTCATCACTCCAAATAACATTGTAGTGCTAGGACGAGATCATAAATAAAACTATTACCAGAGCTTCTATCTAAATTCTTATACGAGTTTCTTCAACATTTACTGATATCTTCCAACTCCATTATGTTAGCTATCACGAGCTAATCCCTTGTTCGCGTGCGCAACACTTTTTTCTTCTATTAGCGTCTGAAATATTGGACTTGTGCTTCTATATCCTTTTCATCATGTCCACCGTCGCGTCCGATATTTTCCGGTGTGTCAAGTACTTATAACTAGTAGAAAGTCACATACTTTTTACATTATTCTCCTTGTTCTTGCAGATGCAGCACCTTTCATGGCTCCGAGCCTGCTCCGAGAGAAGACCTAGTTAGTAACTCAGCGGCGGATCCGCAAACTGTCTGAGAAAACGACGCAGGGCCAGCTCAGAGGAGAGATGCTTGCATATCATTATCAATCTGCTGTAGTCGTTTTCATCCAGTACCTTTCTCTTCGTCTTCGTTTTTTGATGGTCGTATTCTGGTACTTCTTCTGTAGAAATGGTTTTTGTTCTATCTTCATTCTCTATTTTCGTTCCTCGTGCGTGACAAATGGCCGTCAGTGGTAGTTTATCGAAACGATTCTTCGTCGGTCTGGGCGGTGAGCGCGGCGACTCCTGCGATTTCTACTGTGTAATCTGCACCCTTTTGTTCTACTAGTAATGGCTACAAAGATAGAAATAAAAATGCCATTCGCTACAAAAAACTATTTTCCTCGAAAAGAAGATCAAGATTGTTGTCTATTCAACACAGTATCAACAATATGATTTGATTTTCGTGTGCTTGGATAGATACGACAGAGTAAACCTCACGCGCAACACCCGCGGCGAAGAGCAGGCTTTACACGACAAAGCAATACAGAGGCCCACACACGTCGATCACATCGAATGAGCGAATGAATGTATCCACTCCAGGGGGTTAGGAAGAAACACTACACACTACTTCTTTTTGGCTCAACACTTTGGCCAAGAAGAATCGTGTTTAAAAAAAGCGGGTCTTCTCGCAGCTTGCTTTTTCCGTTGTTCTTATCTACATTTGGGTATTTATTTCGTGTACATAGTACATCGTTCTTTTCTGAAATGGTCAGCGTCAGTTTGGAAGATAAATATATTATAATGAAGAGTTGAAAGATGAAGATTCATCTGAGTATACCGGCCCTTTAGTTTGACTAACTAACGGGTATCAAATTGCCTGCCTGATTACATAAGAAGGAAAAGAAGTCCTATAGAGGAATGCTCAGGTGGTTATTTTTGTTCTTGACATCGGTGGAAAAATCATGGTTCTAAAGAGAAACAGTATCATGGCAGTCTTTTGAAGGTGTTGCTGTATTATCCGAATCAGCATCAGCATTGAAACGAGCAACATGTTGAGAATGCAGGTACTAAACGTCATTAAATAGGAACAGAAGGAAAGTCACTAAGAGAGAAGTTTCGGACAGCGCGACCAGGAGAAATGGTCTCAAATACACCTTTTTTCCTTTATTGAAAAAACTACCTGGTCAACGTCAAGCAAGAAAAGAGAAAAAAACGTTATAAGCGAAAGTACGAGGAAGTACAGATATAATAGAAAAGGCAGACAGCGTCCAGGACACTTATACGGCAAAAACGAACGCGCGTCACCTGGGCTAACCGCACGAATGCCCCATATGAGGTAAGAACTGACCCAGAATCATCATCGAGTTGCAGTAAGAACTGACCTTGATGGCAGTCGTGGTATCATCATCATAGTGCCCCATAGAGTACTACCAGCGTACTGGCGAGACACCACAGTTCCAACGGTCCCCGGTTTACGCACAACTTGCTTTTCAAGTCGTGCGTGACTCTACGAAAAATGTCAAAATCATCAAAATGTTCGGAAGAGTATGATCGTCTTCGTTGGAAAGTAAAGAGACAGGCTCTTCGGATTGCATCCTTGGTGGATCTCGAACAACTATTCACAACAATGCAGATTTAGATCTAGAGGAGCCCCCGCCTCAGCCCTGCCTCTTCTTTTTTGTCTGCCAAGATCGCCGAAGGGGTGATCCCACTGATATCCGGTTTGCCTGCTGGGACGGATCGGCAAAAATTATGCAGCACAAGGTGTGGACGTCTTCTGTCGTAAGAACTACAAACTTGCACACCAGGACGACTGCTGTGTTCGTACACAAGGACTCTTCCTTGTGTTCGTCTTTTGTTGCACTGGCTACATGCCAAAATGTGCGAAAACAAATCAATGTCAGAGGAATGATACGACTTCCTCGTGTCTTGCAAACTATACACAAAATTCGTGGCAATGTCTATCTGTATCTTGTTTGTTGATTTTGCATGAGGCAGACCTCAATACTGTGCAGGCTCCTCGAAGTACACTGAACGGAAGCAACAAGTTATCGACTGTCACTTTCTGACTATATCAATACCTGCAAAATAGATTCGACGTGACTTGTTGAGCGTAAACTAGACTCCCTTGCTTCTACTACTGATGCAACATGTTAGAGTACTACCACACAGTCGTCAGTGTTGGTACTAGAGTTAAGTATTCATTGAAAACCACTTCGTTTTAATTTCATGATGATTCGGTAAATTCTGGTTTGCAAAACATAAGTTGTTTTGATTATCATACCTTCGCAACAAAAAAATCCTAAAGCAGAGCTTCAGGGTGTATTTGAACTACGGAGTTTTGATCATATCGTAACTGCTCGATGTTACTACGTGACAACAGCTACTACTTGATGTGCAACAAGAACGATGCATCTCTACAACTCAGAAGATTTATCACTCATCAACTTAAAAATGTATCTTGTCGTGTGTGTGCCTCTGATATGGCCATTCCTTCGCGACCACATAAAAATGTATCTATCTCAACAACAAGAACAATGTATGTATATATAATTGTATCTATTAGCATCTTCTTCAGCACAACAATGTATGATGTACTAAATGTATGATGTACTAAATGTATTATAATATATATAGTATTTTCAGCTTGGAAGTTGTTTTTGTTGTTTCTTTTTTCTCGCATAGAGAGACTTCTGGACCGCTGCACGTAGGTTTAGAGCTACCACGTCGCATCCCCGAGGGTATCCCTGGAACTCTTTTCCCCTGGAAGAAGAGGCCGAAGATGACGCTGGGGATGCTTCAGCGAGAGCCTTAATAGATCCACGCGGGACAGCGGTACGTCATCGCCTTCCGAATCGGAGTCGTTCCAAAAGGCGGCTACACTGGGCAGATCCTGCGGTCGAGTTCTAGGGCCATCCGCTCCGCGTTGTCCGGCCCCCGCTCCTCCCGGTTGCTGCCTGTCACCGCGACCGGCTTCTGCTCGCCCTCTGTCCGCATTAGAGCTCACCTACGATCTCTCAACTACTCAACAAAAATTCAGCATAGTTTAAATCTGTAACGCACTTTGTTGTAGTGCAGCTCTTCGAACAAGTTGAATCCTGAAAGAGGAAAACGAATAAAACGACGCTGTGTACGGTCGCAGATGAATATTCATTTTATCTAGGGAAAAGTGATTAGAATTGACATCGACGTCAGTCTTTGTCTTAACTGCAGTGCCACCTCCGACCTGTGGTTTGCTCAAAATTCGGAGAGGAGCTGTCGTAGCAAGCCAGTCACGGAAATGAAGTAAATTCTGCTCAATAAAGCCCAAAAGGTCCAAGACGGGTACGACCGCAGCACCACCATCCCCTCCGCCGTAGTAGGCTCCACCCGAGGGGGAGGACGGAGAATCTTAGAATGAGTAGAGGAAAAGGAGAAACGAAGTGCACTTGCACTATTTAGAGTTAAACGTTAACTGTCGCGAGGGACAAACGTAATCCTTTTGTCGTGTAGAGGCTTCAATTCACGATCCCCTTCCAAAAGGTGCAAACTACTGTCTGAATTGCTATATTCCCGAAAGATAGACAAAAATTCTACTTCTACAGCAAATGCGAACACCAGGAGCAAATAATCAAATAAATATCCACAACATGCCCATGGGAAGATGGTCGTTGCGCCATAATCTGAGTGAATGAATATGATATAGAAGTGCCATAGGATGCCAGAGATGAGGCTGCATGATGTTGATGCCCGTGAATGGTGTTTCGTCCAGTTCTCCCGTGCGATGCCTGCGCTAGCACGTTTGGATACTCGATCGGGACAAGAAGCTGAGTCCCGCTAGAAGGCGCATTCAGACCGCCTGCTGACGGTGACGCTGGATACTGGTGTGGTCAAGTCGAAATAACCATGTAAGAATTCCGAAAAAGAAAGTAGTAGGGTCAGATGGGAAATTAATGTAGAAAAAGCAGAAAGTAGAGTCAGATGGGAAATCAATGTGTATTTATCAATAACGCTATGACTGCATAAGTAACAAGCAAGGCCAATGAATAAGTAATGCAAATATCTTTACCTCAATCGAAGACATTCGATGGGTAGCGAACCTCTGTCCGGAGGGGGACACTGGCACGTAGTCATCCGGTACGCGCAGGATTTCGAGCAACAAACTTCCCATTTTTAGAGGCAGTGAGTTTTATTTTCTCCCCGTCGTTCGGACTCTTAGTGTCCACAAAAAATAATGTCGAGCCGAGGAACTGTTAGTTTCCTAATGAAAAAATTCAGCGCCTCACTCCGTGTTCAGGCTGGATTTTTTTCGCACACTACGACCAGTTACTACTCCCTATTGAGGAGTAGTTTGCACACAAATTGTAATAGAATCTAGCCTTAACATATTTTGCACTGTTTTAAGCAGTGGCTCACGCACTTTGGCGATCACATCAAGTTCCCTCTGGATATCTGCTTCTTTCTCGGACACCACCGTGGCTTCTTGACGAATTTTGGCTTGCAACGATGCCAAAAGAGCGCGCTTCCTAGCTAGACTAGCGGTTGAAGAGAGCCCACTGCCTGCTCCTCTGCTGCCGCTGCTCGTGCTGACTTTAGAGCCACTTACTCAGTTACAAGGGAATGTCAAGGTCAACTTACTACTCAGTACCCCGTTGCAGATACTTTCAAAGTATAAGGTGCTCTAGAACTATGACTTCTATCACACGGACACAAATTGTGAGGTCGTGGACGTACCCGTATTTCAACTCTTTGCTGATGGAAAATCAATGTAAGAGAAGGTGGACCGAATTTGTGTTCCTCGTAACTGTCGCATGTTGGAAGTGGAGATCGAGTGCATTTTTGTTCTCGATCTGGAGTCGTTCGATATCGGAATGTAGCGTGTTTACGTACGTCAATAAAGAGTACGAGCGGTCTTCCATTTGGGTGAATATGCGCACAATTTCTGACAAATTCTGAATGCCAGTCAATGTGCGTATCGTCTCGAATGCTTGCTCGAAAATCTCATTGCTTAGATGAGTACTCTTTGGCCTTGATGTAAGTAGTAACGTACTGAACTTTATGTCGGAGGTCCATGTAGAAGAAGGCACTTGTGTTATAAGAGTTTGTTTTACGTTCTTGGACGAGGGCCTACTCTCTGCCCTGCCTGCTTGGTAAAAGTGCGCGTTCTACCCTTCGCTTCTGGTAGATACGAAATTTCAAGAATCCTCATCCAGCTCTTCCTCCATAAGATATTCTTCGAGTACTGCTTAATCCGACGACGTTGGATGGCGTTGAAGAATGCGTTTCTGAAGATCCGCCGACACAAATGCTTTGCATCGAAATTTCGCTCTTCCTCTGCTATCAGGCTCTCGGCGGTGCCACCAAGCAATTGCGTTGTATCGCCCCTGGCGGACGAGACCATCGTCCCACGAGTAGAACCAAAGATATTGCTGCGGGTTGTCCCTGTTGTAAGTTGTAAGCTGGCTGTCCAAAACCAAGCTAGCATGAATGCGGTACGACACTGAGGAGCATCGCAGCAAGCACTCCGAATTATACTTGAAGAGCAAAATAATAACAACTGCTCAATATTACGTGGTGAACATAAAGGTGGGTTCAACTTGTTCCACTTCCATCCCGAGTTCTAGAAGCGTCAGTTCATCAAGCTAGCAGGCTACTATCTAAGAAGGAGTACGATTTTTTCCGGCGTTCCGTCTCCTCGAGTCAATATCGCGCTGAATTCTTTGCTGCTTTGCATAATCCTGCTTCATATTTTCAACCATTTCCGTGAACTCAAGGCGCTGCTCTTTCATACGCTTCTATGCATTAGAGGAGAATGGAACGAGGCACATGGACAACCAGGACCGCGATGACAAGTTGTGGCATCGATCAGCATCACCATCGTCATACACTGGTTCGAAATTCTACTAGCTTTAGATGAATTTTCGGTCGGTCGGATCAAAGATATCACTCTTCGTTGTAGTCACTTACTCTATCAGCACAGTTAGAACTCTTGCTAAGTAGTAAATAACTTTAAAGCCAAAGAGTGTAAGGCATTGATTTAACGATCTTGTTGGGAGTGTTGTGAAGCTTTCAGCTGTCTGCTGTTCCTAAGTGTTGTTTTTTGGAAAAGGCACGAAACCAGAAGAAGAGCTACTTTACATGACAACGCTAATACTATTATCTTCTTGAAGACAGGGGAGAAGAGGAGAGGAAGGGGGAGATGTATAGAGAAAAACCAACCGACTAGTAGATAAATAAATTGCATCGAGCGAGCACGCTCATTCACTGGGTTTTTGAATCTTCCACATCTTTTTCGAACAACAGGAACAAAATTGATGAGCATTGCGTAGGTGCTGACTGTATAGGAGAGCTATTTTGCTAGTGCAACCAGACACCCAGTTTAGCTCACTCGCAGCAGTGGCATCGTTCAAACTTATGACTTGATTCATTGTGACGAACGATTTGGCAAGAAACAACGAGCACTGCCGCGGAGTGAGCTGAAGTGGATGAAGGATGGGATAACGGGAAGGAAGTGGAGGGCGGGTTTTTTAGAATGAATATGGAAGACTTGAATGCGGATTCCTTACATGCGGCGTCCCGAATGCCCTGCGTGTAGGATGCGTAGCCCCCAGGAATATGGAAAACTGATGGATGGAAGGATTGCCAGCACCGAAATGACGCTCCTAAGTTGGTTATGCCGAACATTTACGCTATTCTACCATATCAACAATTTGGATTTGGATTTTCTACCCCACGTTCATAACGATGCTTCGAGTCTGCGCCAGCATGTCCTCTTTTTCCCGCTCTGCTTGCTGGTAAATGTGAGTCTGGCGAATGAGTTCACGTGTTTGCGCCTGAATTTCGCTTTTCATCTGTCTAAAAATGCCATCAAGATGCTTGCGCTCCTGCCGCAGTCTCGTTATGTCGCCTACGTACTCCGAGTCTTGATGATGCGCAAATGAAAGAATAGAAAGGATTCGACCCAGCACCCTCGTAGAGTCTTGAAGTCCATGATTGTAACGAAAAATGGGAACTCGTAATGCAACTACATCGATTCTCATCGGGCCATCTATTCATCTTCACTTACTATGATGCCTCAAACTGGAAATATGTATTATTTTTCCTATGTATCTATATCATAAAAGCAAGTTTAATTTCTGGAATAGCATCTCCAGTAGGCGCTCTTGCCCGTGTCCTTGCTTACCCTGCCATGTTCGCATCATGAAGCAAATCATCAAAAAGAAACCAGACAACGTTCTTTGCAAATGAATGTGTCACGAACAACGGCACAACAATGTTGAAAGAGAAAGAACGGCCAACGTCAAGAATACTCAACATGATGACTCGAATCTATCCGGCAAGTTGCCTAAAATTTCCCTGACGATTTCTACAACCGGTTAGCCTAGCTTCTTTTTAATGTTTGTTAGTCATAATTTTAAGTTTTTGATATCTTGTGCGGCGATCCTCATACTCTTTGCGGCATTTCAGCACCCCTTCCTCCAAATCGCGTAGGTGCCTTCGTTCTTGTTCGAGCCTTCGAGTTCTGGTGTCGATATCTGACCTCATACGAAGCAAGTGCTCCTCCACAAGCACCTGCTGAGTAGACGACGCCTGGTTTTGGATCATCTTTTCCCTAGGTTGCGTCACAAGGAACGGAATAAGGACTAGTACAGATCGATGGATTTCTCTGTGTTAAACAAGGAAAGATTGTTGAAGCATGCTCAGTCACGGCAGAAGCAAATGCTGCCAGCTACTTATTTACCTGATCAGTGCAAATGACGCAGTATGGACAACCCGAACATTGCTAGTGCGAAGGATTTGTGCACCTCCGCTTATGCTGTTTTCAGCTCGGTTTCAACAAGATTGGTGGACCGATTAGCCTTTTCACGTGGCGTTGCTTCTCTCGAGATTTTCCTTGCACCAGCTCCCGGCCGCTCTAGTTGTAAAAGTATTGCTCTCATTTTACATTGAGATGATTCCCAGACGAGCAGAGAGACCACAGCGTGGGATCAACAACACAGCCTGCTTTTACCGAAGCGTGAGCTTGACGAAATAAGAGCGTTTAACACAGACGCCGTGTGGGTTTCCTTGCGACAGAGTATGTGAGCATACCGAAGGAAGTACTTAAGTTGCTTTGCGACAGAGAAGAATAAAAGCGCTCAAAGAACGTCTGGAAGAGTGGAATTGTTAGTGTAGGTATAATCACAAATACTTCCAAATGTTGCTCGCCAGTTAGTTAAAATCGCGTTAGTTAAAACCAGTGACGGGCAGAAGCTAAGCACCTCCAGCTTTTGTTTTCGGGGCGCGATGTGCCGCTCGATAAGCATTTTCGAGCCTTGCTTCTGCTTCATTTCTCTTTGTAGATTTTATGGAATGACTAGAATTCCCCTCATCTGGTGCTGCATAACAGGATTTCACATCACCTTCGTCTACTTCACCATCATAAGTGTCATTGATATCAGATGAAGTGCCTTCCCGTATCCCTGCAAGCTCTCCTAGCTTTCCAAGTCTAATATCTGCCCTCCTTCGCAGATGATGCAGTTTATCTCCGCCACCTCGACCCGTTTCTCTCGGCGTCGGAATGGGCCTGCTTATACCGATAAGAATTCTGTTTTGTGGTGTGATATCTTCAGCTACGAACTTCATTCGTGTTTCGTACAGCACGCCAGCTTCTGACCCACGCATCTCCATTCTACCTAGTGTTAAAAGATCGCTCACCGCAGGAAAGAAACTCCCACCTTTGCTGTTCTTCTGGCTCTTCGATGTTGAAGGCCTCTTCTGACTCGTCTTCGATATAGTTTCAACAACTCCTACTTCTTCGGGACAACGAGCGGAAACTTCTCCTGATGATGTCTTTGTCGTTGCTTCTTCCTCTGAAGATGCCTTTATAGCTGTAATACTTCTAAGATTCTCGTCTTTTTCCATGAGTTTCTGCCACAAGGCACCGGCTGTGGCCTTCCACCGCGCGCCCTGTGTCCTATCGGAATGACAGCAAGGCATCACAGCAACATGTACACCGAAGCTCTGCGCTATCTCAATTGTTTCCTCTGTCAGGTGCTGGCATGCGTGGCACGCAACCACCAAAATTTCTTGCGGCTTGTAAACTTTGGTAGTAGAGGACGTCGTAGAAGTAGAGGACGTCGTTGTAGAAGCAACTTGTTCGTCTCCTGGTCCTCCTCCTGTTAATTTAGTCGAGAAAGCAAGTTCTCGATGTTCATCTCCTTCTCCTTTTCCTGTTAACTCCGGATCCGTTGAGGACGTCGAAGCTTCTTTGAATATCCTTGCGCCTGCTTCTTCCGCTTCGGTGGATCTTTGACTTTTTGGACCTTGGTTGTGTTCTCCGAGGAGTTTGCGAATTTCGTCCGGCAGTGCAGTCTGAAGACGCTCGTGGCGATATCTGGGAAGCGACTCAGTGTCCACGAATTGCCCAAACACTTTGCGTACGCCGTCCTTTCCTGCTCGCACCTCGAAAGGGTCTATCACAATCGCGCGCTCGACAGGCCTGTGCAAAGCCAAGAAAAGGGCAGCCAGTGCGCCGTGGCCTCCCGCGACATCGAGAATCACCTTCACATCGGTGAAGGACCCCTTTACGGCATTGCAGAAGGCCAGAGCCTCGCGAACCTCCTTGCGTGCGGGCCGCGCACAACCGCTCTCGCGCAAGGCGTCGAAGATGCGCCGCTCCATCTTTATCTTGTTTTTCAAGGTGAAAATTTAAGTTACTACTTCGGTGAGGACTCTCTCCATTATTATAGAAACAATACAAAACACTAACACAACGGCTCCTTAATGAGAATGACATTGCAGTCGCGCAACTACCTTCTTGCGACAAACTTTGAATTCGTTCCTGTACAGGTAAGTAGTAATCCACGATACATTTATCTCGTCCAACACGACTTCGAGGATAAAGTCAATTTGAAATGGTTTTCATAGGGTTCTTTTTGGGAGGGAGTTAAACTGCTGGTAGAAGGGTAGCTAAATTCTATGTCGTGCGGTTTCTATGCACAATGCAGTACAATGAAAATCGCACAAACATCTGCGCAGACTGCCATTGTGATCTACTTACTTACATTCAATTGCCAAATGTATAAAGATCTTCACATTCATATCTTCAGAGCAAAGTTGTGTTGTACCAGAAACAAATATAAATCAATGCATCTTCTTGTACTTGTTGTTCCTCCTTCACAAATAAATGCTATTTCATTCGGACTCGAGGTGACAGTGACAGAGTTGAGCAGATAACTACCAGGAACAGCAGCTACTGCATTACCATCAGAGTTGCAGCCGAAGAATAGAACTTTCTTCATCCAAGAAACCCGTAGGCGATGTCCGTGCTTGATGCCAGGTTGTTCTCACGAAGAACCATGTGAGCAAGATCTTGTTCAGAGCTTTTCATCTCCGTGTGTAATGTTGACACATCTAAAACATGGACGAATCCACCCCATACTGTTTTTATGCCTGGTACAGCTACAACAGGTACAATAATGGCGTTCTTTTCTGGTCTTGATGATGTTGATTTTGATCTTGTTGGTGGTCTACTAGATGAGTCTGTAGTTGCATTGAGCGACTTTGCTGATGTTAATGGTCTACCGCTAGTAGACGAGGCTGTAGTGAGGACAACGACGGTAGCGGAAACTTTTTCAACCATCTCAGTCATGACGAGCATGTGATAATTAGAGCTCACCCTAATCCATCCCAGGATTCATCTTTAGGCCGTTTTCCCCTTATGGAACAGTCCTAAGAAAGATACTTCTGGCGATGGATTCATTAGGGTGAGCCGTAAGATAAAGTCCCAGAGTGGTGAAAAAATGCCACCAAGCGTGAGTTTGCGGATAGAATGGTAGTCGTGTTCTCAAGAAAGTGCAGAAACCGTTGTCCACAATCCAGCATACAATTCCGATAAGAAACTCGAGAAAAGCAAGATGAAACAAACTTCTGGCCTCAGCGACGCTTTGCCGGAGATGATCTTTTTCCGAGCCGTCTCTAAGACTTCTTCTCCTCTCGTCTGTAATAGAAGTGCGAGGACCTGCTTCATCTTCAGGCTTGGCCAGATTCTCTGCTGTTGATGGAACAAGAGCAGTAGACCCCCCTGAAGGGACTTCTTCTCCACTGCGACCTCGCGACTTCTCTGCTCGCTGATGTCTCATGGTTACCCTCTGCGTTGATGTGGGTGTCCTTCCTCTGCTAGAATCCTTTCGCTTGCCACGTCCAACGCTTTTGCTGTTCTTTTTACCACTAGTACTTCCTGTTACTCTACTTGTCTTCACTTGTTCTCCACTTGGTTTGCCTTCGTCTACTGAAACAGGAGTCGTGTTTTTCCGATGAGCACCAGTGGCCTCGGTGAGCTCCTCCAGTAATCTGGCCTTCACGTAGAACAGATGGACAAACATAGCTGAGAACGACGTACTCAAGATGCCGCGAAGCGCCTGATGCGTGGTTGCATACTCCTTCCCGACAGTGGCTAAAATGCCGATGCTCAGCAAGCCTGCAAGGATTCCCGCAAGAATTTTGACTACTGACGTACTGTAGCATCGGGAAGTCGCACTAATTAGAAGCAAAATAACGTAATGAAAAAACCTATTCGTGTGAATCCATACTCTCAATGAATTATCGCTCAGGACTTAGAAGCAAGATAAGTTGTATCTTCTTCCAGTTTTTTGTACAGATGGGCTCTTTATTACGGCTCACAGCCAGCATTGACTAATTACTGATGACGCTGCGAATAGCTAACACCTCGAAAAAGCCCCAACTGTATATCAACTTCTTGCAAACTTCTTCTATTTCCACACAGTGATTTTCGTTTTCCATATCACCTTTTCCGACATGCGACGTCTGGTTGCCCACACACCCACATTTGCGTTTACCATGATGTAGTAGATCGGCAGTTCATCGATGAGATGCGCCCAGTACCGCAGCGTTGCGTGGAAAAGCGTGGTCCCAATGAAGATCGAGGTCAAAAATAGGAGTCCTCGTTTAGCCACCGCCGAGTAAATGTAATTAGGTGCAGGCCGATACCACCACACTGTTAGCACCGGTAGAATGTACAAGAAACTGGACAAGGTGTTCCAGAATTCTGCTACCGGAATTTCCAGAAATTCCACGACTGGTTCGTGTCTTTTCGTTTCTCCGCCAACTCCACTACGTCCTAGTACTGCAATTTCGAACGACGAAAGCAGGCTCGGAACGTTGATGTAATACGGCAGCAGGAAAAGCGAGACGTAATTGGACTCACACCAATCAAATTCTGCATCTGGGGCGCCGTAGAAATTGTGATAATACTTCGGGCGCAGGTCCTCGAACGCCAGAAAGTCTTTCTGGACTTGCTCACGGTTCAGTTGAGGAGGCGCGGAAGATTAGAGGTGCCAACATCACAAGTACACCCTTAAGAACACGGATTCTTGCCTTTTTTCCGGAGCTGGAAAAACGACCGGTACTGTAACTGCAACTACTAAGCTGTTGTGGTGTGTCGGAGTACCTACTGGGTGGTAATCCTTTGGTACAAGTTTGTTGTAGCTCTTAAAAGAAATACTGAGTCGTGGTAACGCACAAGAGCAGCGAGAGGCCCCCGGCTATTCCTTTGGGTGACAATAGTCGCGAGAATATGTCTCCGGCACGAGAGGTCCCGGAGACGTCTTTCGCCACCATTTGATTTTCTTATTGTATTTTTCTCACCCTTACGCCTTCAATTTTTGTTTAACACAGAAGGATGCGGAGTGCTTTCTTCACCTACGTTCCCAGACAACTGTATACTTTGTGTATGTAGAAGTAACAACACCAGTGGCAGGTATCCTGAGCTATCTGGTTTAAATTGGAACAGAAAAACTGCAAAGACAGGCGAATTTCGCTTTTCAGGGTGCGGTGGTTGTTTCTATGTATAAAAACTGACAAAACAAAAAGCATGGCTGCACGAAGTTTTCAAGACGCCATTCGTCCGTTGACAGAAAGTTCATTGTACAACAAGAACGCGCACTCGATCATGTAGACAAGATATCTCATAGATCAGCATGACACACCTACTGATTTCTGCTTCCAAGTCTCCGAAAAAACGCGATCTGCACGGCACCAGCGCGAAAATAAATGTGGTGCCTCATAGCGAGCCGTGTATTACTCTGCGGCTGCACTGCGCTACAAGCAACGGTAAATACGCACCCTTTCCGAAAGGCGTCATACATGGAAGCGAAAATGAGGACTTCTATTTGGCTGGGCTACCCTTTCTTCAGTCTACATCTTCAGTCACGGGCACGCGTTTTCGCGACTCTGATTTATCGTTGTCGTTCCTCGACGGTGGCTGCGGCTCACGGGATTCAGTGTCTTTTCGCGGCAATGCTTGAGTAGAGTCCGTTTGTCCCTCGTCTGGTACTCGAAACGTTGCTGCACTTGAAGATGGAGCCACCTGAAATTTGGTAGGAATTAGAACTACGTGCTATGTTGACAGTCAGAAGGACAGACTTTTTTGCCATTAGCATTCTTGCTCTTTTACCCACATGCGCACTGCACAAAAACTCACGGGTAGTGCTGGCGTTGGTTATATTGAAATCAATACTTGAAGTGGAATCCTTTGTTCTGAGTATGTTTGTTTTTACTACGTACTCAAAAATGATAAACAATACCCCTGCTTCGGCGTTACTACCAGCAGTTGACTGCACTTCGGCTGCTTCTATGCCTTGTCCTTTACCCGTTGCTGCCACGATGTCTTCCTTAGAAGCTGCCGTTGCCATGCTTTGTTCTTTTGCTGGCGTGCCTTTTGTTTCCTCTGTAGCTTTCGTCGATGCGCTTTTTAGTGTCGTTGCTGTTCCAAGGCGCTCCGTAGCTGCTGCTCTAGCTTCTGCGTTATATTTTTGACTTGGATGATCTCTCGGCTCCCGCCTGGTTGGTCTAGCGCCATTAACAACATCTTGAAAGAAAACGCGTCTTCTATGGTGTTGATGTTCTTTTAGCCCGCCGGTTCCGCCAATAACAGATACAGCCGAGAACCTAGGTCGCCCAGATTTACCCACCCCATCGACACGCAGCCCCTTGAAGAGGACTTTATCTCCGACTTGCACCTTTGTGCGCTGGCAGTCCCTATGTAGAAAAGCGGATTAGAGGAGAAGCATGTGGGAAGACTTCTAGCAGTACCTATGCAGAAAAACGGATTAGAGGAGAAGCATGTTGGAACACCGATTGTGTGAATAGATTTCGCGCTCTACAACGACAGTGGACTCGTAGTGATCCCGTTCACGTAGTGCATGCGTCTAAGTATCAAACTGTCTACTCCGAGCGATCGATGCAAAGGAAAAAAATAAAAAATTAATACTATAATAGAGTTAGGTTTTTTTTTGACCCATATCGGGCCGGGCTGCTCGAGTTGCTCGAGTTGCCAACCCAAATCTTTTGGGCGGCGCCCTTCAGGCGCAGATTTATGACCCTACGAGAGACCTGAACAGGAGCGCAGGACACCACGCGCCGCGTCCCTGATCCTTGACTTTCTTCTTAGTGCGCCCTTAAGGCCCCATCAACTACCCCTATCTTGCCAAGGAAGTGCGGCCACCTATTCCCTCTCTCAGCTGAGTAGTGTGGTATCTAGCTAGATGGGTAAGATATCTAGCGGCGACGCCCTATCTACTTACGACGTCTAAGCCATTCTAGTTGCATGCTGATGGCGATGCGCTCGTATATATATATAAATATCTAGCGCGTCAATCCATTTCAGTTTAGCTACCTCCTCCAGTATACTTACTGCTATGCCCAAGACTGGACACGTCGCCCGCTGAAGCCAGCAGACGGAGACTCGCTCTCAGCCCCCAAGTAGATTGGCCACGCTCGCAATCGAAGAAAAAAGGAAGAGATCGCCAACGACTCGAAGACGACACACCACAGCGCCACCCACCTCAAAAAAAACAACAGAGAGCAGGGGCCTGCGCTCCTTGTTTTCGCTTCAAACACGCGCCCGCACGCTACAACAAAAGAGCCGGAAAGGCTGCAGAGCCACTCGCACGTGGTTGCCCCTTTCATGAGCAACAACAAAAAACAAAAACGGCGCTCTTCTTCATTTCTTCACTTCGAGCGTGCGAATGCTCCCCCATACCGCCCGGCTTCGCCCCATTTTGCTGGATCAGGATTCTCCTGGCAACCCGTTCCAGATTTGGAACCCCTGCGCTTCGGCAACCCGAGCAACCCGTTGCAACTCGAGCAACCCGAAACTCGTTATTTACCTTACGCTACGGTATTTATAAGTCTCGTTCTGAGTCAGAATCTGACTCTTGCCACTCAAATTGCTCCATCGACATCTGATGTGGAACATAGTCTTCACAAGTATCATCATGCTTGCCTGCTTGACGAGTATAATCAACAGACAACATCAGTGCTGGCTTAAGTGAAAGATGGGCTCCAATTTCTGCAGTTGTTTTCGATGATATCTGCTTCCTCCGCAAATGCGACATCCTTTATCAGCCCGACATCCGCGCCATATTTGCCCTGCTGCTTCGTCACACGCAGGTCCGTCACGGTTCCATGGAACAGTGTTGGCAGGTGAGCCTCTACGGAATCCGCCGTACTTAGACAACAGAGGATAGCTGCGACTACTCAACTACTTCCCAAAGAAACCTGATGAAGGTATTCATCATGATTATGATTATGATTATGATTTTGATTTGATGATGAGAGTGACACTGTACTAAAATGTTACTAGAAGTATCTCGATCTTCATCAGATTGTCGGGCGTCGTAAGGGCCTTTTCTGAAGAACGTCATCCTTTCTGCTAGAACTAGAAGGCTCCTCCGTTTTCCCCAGCTGGAAAATTAAGAACACTTATTCGTTGCCGTTGGTTGCTTTGTGCTGTCATAAGTTCTCACTATGCTGTGTCTTCTGCCTCCAGTGCCGTTCTCTGTCGCGGAAGCCGAGCCATGGCCTTGATGGGAACCGTTCTGCAGAAGGCGCTGAGGAGAAGAGGCGCTGGAACAGGACATTATGACTCAAGCCCTGATGGCGCAGAGCTCGATGACAGGAAAGAACACTCGCTCCATAGAGGGAACCACCCGAAGGGGATCGCTGAGTAATCATTCTTCGGCTCTGACAACTTTCGAAAAGTCAATCTCGATATCCGTCTCAAAAACTGAACAAGTACATGGACATCGTCTGAATAGTTCATGATCGACCACTTCTCCTGACGTCCAAACATTTTCATTTTGATGATCTTCAACAACAGCGAAGACGAAGGTCACCTACAAATTTAGTGAATGTTTCAACAATATCATTTCGTTGTATCGCCTCTATCCCACTCTTAGTCTGCTCTCCTTTTTTCCACACCGATAAGTTTCCGCAGAAACTCCGTGGAGATATCAAACGCTTGCCAGCAGTAGGAGATGCTCCGCGTCGGCATCGGCTGCCCCAAAAGTTTTGTGCTGGAACAAGTGAAAAAGCTTGACATAGTCTTGGTGTTTTCAATTCATCAGACAAAGAGGACTGCTGATTGGCATCCTCATACTCTTGAAAATCATGTCGGAATCAAAGTGGAGAATTTACTCCTCTCTTCATCAGGCAGTAGGTCAAAAAGGTCTTTCTTATAATGAAGCACTTCAAAATCCCTTTCAAAATGGCGAAGAAATAGACTCCGGATATCCTCAATCCAAAGGTCTTTCCACTGCAAGGCCGCACAAACGCACTTGAGATTCAAATCCTTAGAGATTTGGATGAGCATGATCTTTCCAACATCACACGAAGCCTCTACACACATGCATAAAGTTGCAATTCATTGGTACAAGATGTAGCTGTCGCGAATAGTATTAATTATGAAAGGACCAGATCAAATTGGGAACGGCCTGGTCATAATATTCCCGTTTCCACCAATATCGTCTACAGCAGGAAGTGACGTCGACCCTTGAGTACCTTTTCTGGAGCATCCCTTGGACCGAAAATGCATGGTGTGTGGATCAAAGCGGCACCCGGACAAAAATTCCAAAGCGAAGACTTGCGGGGATCGCGGGTTTTGTCTGTTCTCGCCTTAGATGTAACATCTTTCTTGAGGTTGTTTGGATGCAATGGCCAGCGTTTCTAGAAGTCACTGTAGACGAGATGAGCCACACGGTGTAAGTTTTTTGCAGTGCATGTGGTATGATAGCTTAGATATGTTGCCAAGAAAGATTTGGCTTCTCATCTGCGTAAGTAGATAAGTAAGAAAAGTATCTATGTCTGGAAAAGCGTAGTACAAAGTGCCATAATTCTCATTCGCCGCCCACGCAAGCATTTTTTGGACCATCACGTCGTCGCGGGGAAGAGTGCGAGTGTCCGCGCGTGAGGACGTGCCACTAGTTTTCGTGACAGTCTCTTCGACGATCAATTTTTTGTCAACGGGAACAGTGGACGTTGTTGCCATATTAGCTGCATTTGGAGTTGCAGCACCTCCGCTTGCACTTGCTGGAACCTCTACTTCTTGATTATCAGAAGAAGATGATTTCTCCATCGTCTTGTTGATATCCGGATTTTGGCCTCGTCCTGAGTCACTCTTGTGTTGATTACTTATTCCTGAGGTGCCACTTTTATCTGTGCAGTGCCTTCCGTAGTTCTCGCATAAAAATGAGTCTAGTCTCGCTATGTCTTCTGCTTTATGCTCCAAGTGCACCACGAAATGCGGCTTCGCTTGGACACGATCTTCAAGCGAAATTAAAGGCTTTCCGTTTCTAACTGACTCCGAAGATGTTGTAGAACCAGAGGCACCTTGCGACACTTGCTCTCTGGGGAGTGTGAGTGATTGTGTCTGTTCATCCGGAAAGTGCGTTATCGCTGTGCTCCTTTCAAGTCCATAGCCAATTCGAAGCCAAGGGTCGGTCATTACGTCAACGGCAGGTCGTAAATGCAAAATGTCATGCGCCTCGTCCGTCGTAAAGCGGCCGAGATTCAGGTGAAACCCCCTAAAGCTGTAAGTCGCTCTCCAAGAAAGTACGAGTTTGGACCATCTCTGAAATAGGGTTATCATCGACTGCAGCATGTGATTCCGCCACTCCTCTGGGCACGGCAGATCGACAGGCCACGCTGCTGTAACAGCAGTGCTTGCATCTACAATCTTTATTTGCTCGTCTGGCACGACTTGATCTCCATCTGCAAGACCCGACGCAGCAAATGTTGTGCTTGAGCTTGTAGTCGCTTTTTGTTGTTCTTGCTCGTCGCTGCTCTGGTGTGACTGTCGCAAAATTCTCGCTTGCCGCACTGTGCGATTCATTGTGTTCGTTACTTTGCCGGCTCCTGCAAGGCATTCCTTTTTTTCCGTGAGCAGCAGTCGGATACCAGCGTCCCACCAATACGAAGTTTTCGGGAGGCCGAACTCTGCTCGCAGGAGTGCTTGTCGAAGAAGATAGAAGAAAGCGGACACGAAACGCACAAACGGATTTCGAGCTAGCACTACGCGATGACGCCATTGCTGATCCCGACAACACCCTGGACAGCGCGGAAGGCCCTGCACTTGACTGGCGTCCAACGCAACGTAGTCCTGAGAAATCGTAGGTGCATTGAGGGAACGAAATCGCTCACGGTACTCCGGACTGCCGAGTAAGCTGTCTAGGAGGACAGTCATTCGTGACGGTTGTTCTGGTGCTGCCGAAAACTGGGCACGAAGTTGCCTTATGTGTGTCCGAGAGTAAGCCGCTCCACTCGGAGGCATTAAGAAGTCATACTCTTGTTTCTGATTGTTGTTCTTTTTAATCAACATCGTATGAGGAGTTGTAGATGACGCGTCAGCTCCTGCAAGACCTCTATTTTTAGCAGTCGCCAATACACGCATAAATTCTGCAATGTCTTCCGCGGAAACGCTACTTTTTGTGTTCGAGGCATCAAGCTTGGCACTAAGCGCGGGAGAGCCTTTCATGACCTTGAGAATTTCGTCTCCACGTAGGAGTGCACCGGTTTCAATCAATCGGTCGCGAAAGTCGTACTGCGCGACGGACGTCTCTGCTTGTTGGTCGTCCAGGCTGGCAGTTTTTGCTTGTTGGAGGAGGTGTTTTTGGTGCTTTTGTTTCTTGAGCGCAGCTGCCGTCTGCTCATAGGCTTCCTTATACCGGTCGTGTTCGCGAATCCTGCGTCGCTTCCGCAAAAACTCGTCTAAGACCGCGGCCTTGAGGCGCGGCGACTCGTATCTCCAAGCGAGGCTCTGTCCAGTGGTGGAGGCCGCCTTCGGCAGCAGAAGGAGCGCGATAGGTGCGTCCGCCGGACAGAAGTAGAGCTGGCGGACCATCGTGTCAGTGCCGCCACCGTAATGCACATAGTCTAAGGCTTCCCGGTATTGTTTTGGATAGGATAGCGGATCTTCGTGCCCGCTCGGCAGGTGTCGTGGAGCGAAATTCCTTGGAATCTAAATGAAAGTGCAACAACGATCTTGTAGTTGTTGGATGTTGCTGTATGCGGATTCGGCACAAATGTTGAAAACGACAACTGCTCTGATGTAGAGAGCGAGAACTCAATGGTACGAATGGCATCTAAATCAATTCCTGTTCATACGAAGTCTTCCGTAATAGGTGTCCATGCGCTCTACTCTTTGATAGAAGCGCGACGCATTGTACGCATGCAAGTGCGGTATTTCGCAGTTGTTAAAATCTACGGGACGAAAAAGAGCGTCGTAATCCAAAAGTGAAGTTGTTATTGCAGCACCCGCTTCGTCACTGGCTGGTGTGCTTGTTTGCTGAGTAGATGTTGAAGAGCTGAGTCTCGTTGATGTTGTTTCTTCCAATATTGATTCCAATCGATCCAGATACTTTACGCCTTCTGGTGTCAGTTCGTACATGCAGTTGGTTTGACCCTCCGTGTAGTACTCGCACTGGCCTCGTCGTACACCAGCTACTGTTCCTGTTCGCTGTCGTGAACTTTTTGTCGCCTCAGGACTCTCTGCCTGAGAAGGGTGGCTGCGATTAAAGGGGCATATGGGCACCCAGGTGAGGTCGCGCGTGTTCCCTTCCAAATGAACGTATTGAAGCGGGTCGCCATACTCGTCACGATATACTGCTGTGGAGTAGCTGGGAGAGATCGCGCGTCGATGCAGTCCTCTGGTTTGCACATGCGCCGTCCATAACTGCTCCTGTAAAGCAGACCCAGCCGACGTCGAAGATAAGCCATCCAAATCCTCGCCATCTGCTGTTTTTTGTTCATCTTGTCATTTTAGAGCTTCTCGTTTGATCTTGCGATCATTTCATCATTGATTCAACGTCATCTTCTACGTAGTAGAAACTGCAACATGAACATCTTCTGCTGAGATTCAATCACCACACACTACATTAACTTGCTCGTTCATGAAGAACCTAGAGTTAATAAAACCAACACTCTATTAATTTTCTCCCCAGTACGACTACGACGTAGGGTGAAAAGACTGTGACAGAACGAAGAATTACCGTGAGATGTGCCGTAAACGTTGCGCCCACAGCTCGCGAATGAGTGCAGCTGCTGTCTCATGTGTTGGATGCTCTTCATCGGAGGCCTGCATTCCGTCGCTATCCTTAGCGTCGACGTTGCTCCTACGCGTTGGCACCGCCGCGAGGAGAAAGGAGCATGTCACAGCAAACAACATCTTCATTCTTGGTGAAAGACCTTACACCAGGTCGCCGATTTCTGTGGGCGTGGGACCGTACACCAGGTCGCTGGCGGCTGGCAACATCTTCTTTATTCGCAGCACCTCATTCCTGATCTCAGATTGGCCTTTGAAACAGACCACCCTCGCTCATAAAGCATCACTCTTCCTTGTGAGTTCTCTTTCGCGTCTTACGGAGTGGGACGGCTGTACAAAGTCCAAAGATCATAATATGCCTTACATGGGAGCAGGCTGACAAGTTCACAATCAACGACGGAACATAGACGAGGAATCAGCATCGACCGGCTGCGAAGCCGGAAACAGTGACTTGAATGAAACAACAAGATGACAATGGATGTGCCTATGCAAATGCAATACTTCGATTCAGTCCACCAAATCGCTATAGTTTACATCGAAATTCTACTAATTTGAAGATGCACAACATGTCATAGTTCGTCTTCCAGGTCGTGGTGGGATCCACAGAAGACTCCACAAGATTCAGATGAAACATGATCAAAAGAGGACAAAACTAGATGCTACTATACAGGATCCTAGAAATAAGAAGGACCGTCGTGTACATTTCAAAAGAAAGACTTGAATCGAAAACGACTAAGAATATCTTCTAGGACTTACATGTATCATTCGTCCATTCACATCGACTACAAAAAGCATACACGTTACTACATACAAAACCCGGTCTATGATATTCACATGTTCGTTACTTTTTTGCTTCCAAAGCTCTGAGGCCGCCGGAAAGTCATATCTATATTGCCCTTCTTTGTTTCACGCGTACGTACGGTCTCTACAGCTACTAGACACTAATTATCCTGTATATCGATATGGTGTTCATCCGACATCAATCCATGTTGGTGCTTAAACGCGTGCCGTAAACGTCATTATATATAAATATTTTCACATTCATCTTTCAATATTTAGAATTTTTCAATTTTAGTTTAGATCTAGCCCGCTGTAATCAAAATCGAGTGGATATATCCGCGTTTGATGTCGTTAATAAAAATCTTCCGTGTGAAATATCCACTTCGCCGCGAATTGCGTCTTGAAGATTTCTGTTCTCTCTGCGTATAGAAATCTACAACTGCCAGTTTGTTCTGCTTCAAAGATCAACATCAAACCTTGAAGATGCCGTAAAAATACAATTAAGAACCGTAATTTTGTCGTTCCGCAGAAACACCTCCACTTGCAGACAGGTTGAAATTCATGTGAGTATATTAATCGTAAATTTCTAAAAAGGCTCGTTGAGATAACAATAGGATATTCGTGTTCATCCTGCTCCGGAGTCGAATTCGACAACTCTGATGAGAAGTAAGGAGGGGGTGTGGAGGACTTCATCTATGAGAATGAGGTGTAATTGATTCTGATCGAATTCGAATGGCTGAACTGGTCGTCTACCAGAATGGCCGACGCGCCTGTAGCAGTCAACGAGAGAAGCGTATTCGCGCCTCTCATTGATCATTCTCTTGTGCGCCATTCCCAGTTTCGAAAGCCCATTTCTCTGGACCGATGCGCCGGCGTCGGTCAGCTCGATTCTCGTTGGCCCCTAGCTCTAACTCTTTTGGCTCCACTTTGGACAGCTCCTTGCTCGCGCGAGAGATTCCCTTAGAGTCTTCTACTCAGCACTATGAGTAAGTGTAATGATGATGACAATCTAATTCCACAAGTGTTTGTGTTACTTGCACTACGCTAAGTAGACTATGAGTAAATGTATGGAAATGGAGACCTCAACTAGAATCGAAAGATGATCATGTCCAGAAGTACTTGCATATTTTGGAGGTGTAGAAATTAACAGAGCTGCTTCAGATAGATACACATGTTGTCGTGCGTTGAGCAGGACGATTACTCTTATAAAAATTCATCATCGATGGGTCTCAGTTAATGTGCTTCAAATTCTACTTTTGTTGTCTGGTATGTCTAGTAGTAGTAGTAGTACTAGTAGTGTACTCATTCGTGGGGTATTGAAGATTTTTTAATCATAGCAGCTGGTCCACGAACTTGTTTTTTGTTGTCAAGCATGTTGTCTACCAACTTGTCTGACGAATGGACATGCATGGAGGTTGAGTTATCAAATCAAAATTATAACTAACAGATCATGTCTACAAAATCAACTTATTTGACGAGGGGGGCCTTAAGTCCAGCCGTCTTCGCTGCTAGAAGAGATCCGCGCGGAACCACTTTTGAACCTCGCTTAGATCCGCCGCCCTCGCCCATTGACTCCCGGCGATTCGCTTCCTGAAGCAAGACAGTAGAGGAGAGAGTTAGTTATTTCAACTTAGAATTATGAGGATCAAAACTCCGAAGGTCTGCTAGAGATTGAAGAATCTTCAAAGAACAAGCAAATAGCTGGTGGAACTTCCCAATAATCAACTAGACTCACTAGGACCAAAAGGCGTCTGACCCTGTAAAAACGATTTTCTTGAGCTGGCAAGAAAATGTACAAGTAAGTTTTAACTCAACAGCTCAAACAAGACAAAGCATTTCTTGATTGCATCTGATGCAGAGTACCATTGATCTGCGCTTGCTGCCGAAGGCGCCCCCTCTGCCCTTGGATCCTCTCGAGGCATCGATCATGGACGAAAAGACTGGAAAATCGCTTTCCCACTGACTCATTTCGAGCAGTTCAAGCTAAAATTGTTTGTAGTTATAGAGTGGGCCTTAAGTGGTTATATTAAGTTGTTGTTAAGTTAGTTGTGGTTATCAAGTGCAAGTGTCAAGAAACTCATGGCATTTTGACATAAGAAAGGCTCGGTTAGTCTCACATGACGTCTAGGTATCAGTGTGGAGGCCAAGCGATACCGATATCGTAGACCACGGCTACTTCAAGAGTTACAACAAGACATATAACTCCGACTTCTCGTTAAGATGAGGATAAGAATCCTCAGATTAGAAACAGTAGATACTACGTAGTAAAAAAGTTCCAAGAAGTTCTCACAGAAGATGAATCAATGTAGAATGTTTTCACAGAAATGAATGCCAGCTGCTCATGCTAGTTAGACCTTAAAGAATACCGAAATCTCGCAGGCCTTAGAATTTAAGAAACGAGTGACTCTTCTATAAAAAACAAAAGGAATTCAAAGTCTGTATCTTAGCAGAACATTCTGAAATAAATAATACAATGCCGGCATCCACTACGTTGTCAACTTCTAGACAACGCTTGGCCATTGCGTTCTTTCGGAGCTCAAATAGTATAGGAATCCAAGTTTTGATGTGCTTTTGGTATTGCACCAAGTCCTCCGTTTCGGGTAAAATTTGGCACTCGCCCATGAAACCTCGCTTCTCAGCCAGTGTAAGCCTGATTTGTAAATTTTGAAAACAAGTCTTGGTGCGAGCCTTGCTACCTAGAAGTTTCCTTTGAAGTAGCTTTCTGGATTTGTCGGCGTGCAGTTGTTGCAGGCTTGTAGTTCTTGTGGTTCTTGTAGCTACCATAAGGATCACAATAATTCTCAAATATTTCCTTTTCTAAGCAAATGACTGATCATAGTTTTTCACGAACTCAGCTCTGGCGTCATCTTTTCTCTTTAGAGAGAGACAAGGCGCGCAAAAGCTGTACCCTCCGCCGCCCAGTCCTCGTTCCCAGTCGGATTGTAGTTGCTTCAACAGTAATGGAGCTGGAACGAAGCCGGTTTTGTCTTCATCTACTGTTTGGATAATCGCTACGAGGTTCTTCTCGATCTCTTCTCTGTTATCGCGTAGTGCCAAATCAACGAATTCTTCGGCGTCCTGGATGGAGAAAGAGAAAGACTCTTCGGCGTCCGGGTCTTGATAGATCGGCAATGTAATTTCATCGTAGCTACTCAGAAGTATCATTCCGACAACGACAAGACTAAAAGTTGATCATTTATTTTGATACGTCATCCTCGTTGCTGACGTGTTTCTTCACGCCAGACATCTCCTGAAGCTCCTCTAACTCTTTTCTCTTCTTTTCTGCCTCCTGGGCTTCCTGAATCATCACTGCTCTTCCGTGATACACTTCCGGGTCGAAATACCATCGGATAAGTGTAGTACTCAGATTCACAGCTTCGACGGTATCGATGGTGCCCTGAATTCATTTTTCGATGAGTGAATAATACATGCAAAAGGAAAATACACATAGTTCGTTGTTGTAGAGCATTACAGAAGATGACAGAATACCAATAGGAATACGAAAGCCTTGTGTAGTTCACAGTCCTCTTGCTCTAACATTCGGGTCAACGAGTAGTTCGTGCTACGTCTATATCATGACGAAGAAGTCTAATCCACTTGCTGCTGGTGCTCTAGCCAAAGTAATACAATGTCATCCATTTGTAGCATGCATAGAATCATGTGCACTTGAAACCTCGAAATCGATATGTCGAGACTCATCATGAGTGTGCGCCACTGCCAGATCGGACACCTCTCGCCAATACCACCACAGAATGAAGGAAGATGATTATCATATACCCAGATCGCGTTTCATGTAAATAAGCTTTGAAGCAGAGAGAACAGTGCAAAAGAACGTACTCTTAATAACTGGATTTACCCCAGACCTTTCATTTTGTCGGCTTGGCTTTCTGAAGATGTTTAAAAACTGGAGTAAGTAGCGGGAGAACAGTGTTCATGGTATTGAAGAACAATTTTTAGTCTTACGGTTTCCATGCTTGGGTTTAGGTTTACGGCTAGTCATGTAATAGGAACAATATGAATATAAGCGGACTGCAAACACTGAAGAAAAGTTTCATATCTACATAAGTTTCTAATGGCCGTGACGATCGCTGAGCGGACCATCTTACTGTCGGTTTCGTGCAGGGGGTTAAGCACTTTTTGGATACGGAGCTCCTGCAACGTAGACCGGAATTCCTCGTATTGGCAAAATACCTGAAGATGGTAGATGATTCTTTTTGTCGTTTTGAGGGACCATCTACGCAGGAGCATACTACATAAAAGCAGCGTGATGAGGAAACTCGACATATAATTATTAGGACTCAACCACGACTATCTCGGGGTTCCTGAAGTAGGTACAGGAGACCAACTTGCACAGCATGCCCGTAGTTCGATCATGAAAGTCGATCGTAGCTGCAGACACTGTACTACATGTACATGATTGACAAATTCCACCTACATCGTCGTGTCCGACATTAGCAAGTTACCATTCCAGTGGGTGCGGACCGTCCGAGACTCCCTTTTCCATTGTCGCTTTCCTTCACGACTTCGGGGACCAGCTGCATCAGCAAAAGTTTTTCTTGCAGTGTGACGCGTTCTGGTATGCTGCTGATGGCGTCTATTAGAGGGGGAGAAAATTATGTACTCAAAGCGTAAAGATCATGTGGGGGAGGCAACTCAATGTATCTGAAGAGAGTATCTGTATCTGGGTGCCGTTTATTCTGTTCTTGAGTCTTCTTCAATCTGTCAGATAACTCACTTGGAATTGTAGATGATGCATTCTTGACACTCATAATTCTAGGAGCTTCATCCTCGGCACGTATCCTGTTGACTTGGGATCTTGCCTTGCACAGATATCTATGATACAACGCGCTGTCTCCGCTATTTCGTCACCTGTGAAGGGCAGTTTAGCGCAATGAAAGTGAAACCATCTTCTCTAAGTGTTAATATCGCCCTCTCGTCGTGGTTCTCACGGAAATACGAAATTCAACCTGTATTCATCGGCATCTCCGGGAAATGTTAAAAAAACTTAGTACTTGATCTACTGGATATTAAAAAAATTACTTTAGATCAACCAGAACCAGGATCAGGAGTAAGAGAGCTATAAAAGTGATCGAAACTGCTGCGTTACCTTCAAGTTGCTCCACTGACTCTCCGATCTTTTCACGCTCCAAAAAATCCGGTGGCATCACGGAGTAGGGAGCTCGGTTCGGAAACTGCACATAGTAACGGTCTCGTTTTCTCCTTGTGCTTCGTACTGCAGTCGGAATTCCATCGCAATGTCGAATGTAATCGATAAGACCTGTTGATGATAACACTAGGTGCAGGTGGGATCAGCGACATGTTAACATGTTCAATGAAGAAAATTATCGTGGTAATACTGTGGTGAGAGCCTTCTAAATAGGAAAAAGACACAACAAGGAGCAAAAAAGTAGAAAGTCTCAACGCTAGGGCATGTGAAGGAGACTTCTCTGACTTGTCCTTGATTTTAAGTGGTCTATAAATAGAAAAAAGACTCTCGCTGTTGCGGGTACTAGTTACTTACTACGACGTTCTTGTACATCAACATTATAATATATAAGGAGACACCTGAGCCATCATCGTGAATTCCCGCCATGATCGTTCGAATGTCCCATGGCAGCAGGTCGATTACTTGATCATCGACCAGAGGGTTGTAGTGAAGTATGAAGCAGGGAACGTGAATGTGGTATTGGGAAGCTAAAGAAAAGCTACAAAGTCTGACTTTTTACTTCCATTCCTTGCCGTAGTTTTATTTCTACATCCATAATTGAGGAAAACGAAGTCACCCGCCACGGGGAACAGAGGTAGGACTTCAGAATTCAATTCGAGAAATGCAGACTCATTCCTTCATTCTTGACGAACCACGTGTCAACCTGAGCTGCCTGATTCAGTATCAGTACTTGTTGTATGTAAAGGTAAGTAAATTGTTCATTATCTTCCCATCATAATATCGTCGTTTGGTTCTGTGCATAGCGTAGCCTCGAGAAGATTGAGCAAATCGCCATGTCTCAATATTCCCTCGCTTTCTTCATCTGCTGCGTCGAAAATGTGCGACAACTTGTTGGCCAATTCTGCTATTTCGATTTAGAGACAACTACAAAGTTAGTATTTTTGAAGCCAGGCTTCTAGCTTATCCGAGGTTTATAAATATATATTTTTCCGTGGTCGTAAGGGAGACATGGACAATCTCATTTAATGCTGATCTTCATGCCTCAGAATGATTGATGCAGTCTCCGCTACTAGGAGCACGAAGATAATCGTGAAAGATAGAATGGAGTGGATGTATTCGGGGCAGGAAGTTGTATCGACGAATGAACGGCACTGTGTTAACAGATAATGATGAAATAGGCAGTTCATCATCATCATGATAAACTTCGTTATATATATTTCCGTTACTAAAAAAGCTAAACGCGGTTTCCGTAATCTTCCGCTGGTGACTTTCCGGGACACACGACTTCTTGCGAATGGTCTCGTGACAGTGTGCCGGACCGTCGCAGTTTGCCACCGCCAAAGCCGCCTTTGTTCTCTGCGGGAGGCCGTCGTGAAAAGGGAAAGGGACACACGACATAAAAATGGGAATACTTAGGAACAAGATTGCCGATGCCAGCTTCTAATCACTATACATAGCAGTTACGTTACGTTCTTCGGCTAGGTTGGTGTCCACCTATTCCTAGTATAGCTGCACAGATGACGTATCTGCGTGTCATCATGGAGCAGTTCATCTTCATGTTTTCACTAGGTCGTTTGATTGTTCATCCAACATCTTCTCGATTAGCAGCCTGTCGAACCTTCACTGAGCACTGCATCGTCTCGACATGATGATGACAGTTTTTGGTGCACTCCCACAGTTCGTAATGTACAGCGAACAAAAAGACTTAGGACTCGCTTAGGGTTTAGGGCAGATATTCAGAGTGTTAATCTATCTTTAGAACACGCACTTCCACCTTCTACTTCTAGGCACTATTGATGAAAGCCTTCATGGAAACGTTCGCCATGCCACAATTGCTTCATTTCAACAGCTTGGTTAGGTTAGGCGTGGGTTTACTAGGAACACTAGCACTCACGATTGGCTACTGAAGAGCTGCATAAAGGTATGACTTGTGGAAATTCCATTGGCGCGTCGCTGTTTACGGTACCTCGGCCAGCTTTCAAGGTTTGGGATATAGTCGGCTCTGATGTTCTCCCCCCGGTGACATAGTCTACGACTACATCTTGTGCCGATCGTCCTTGGCCTCCCATCATTCCGGGATCATTAGAATCCACATGCTGAAGATACTTGTTACGTTGATCCCCTCTTAGCTTTACTTTTCGTACGTATCCCTCGTACAACTAGAAGAAGGACTCAATTGTAGAGAAGAAATAGCTAATGACCTTTTTCACGTGGTTGTAGGGGGTTCGCGTGACCCAGTATTCTAGTCACGTACACTTCAGTAGGGAAAAGCGCCAAGACAAAGCAGGATACTGCTATACAGCAGGACACTACAACCATAGTAGCCAATTGCAATGCAATACAATAAATCTCGTACAACGATTACGATCTGTGTACAATGCATTTTGAATTTCCTACTTCATAAATGACAAAGGGGGCTCCTTCCTGGTCTTTTCGTAATCGGTCATGGTACAGGAATCGCCGTGATTAGATGGACCGGATTCTACATTTGCCCCACTATCTTCAAACTCATAAAAAGTAAGAAATACGTTTTGATGAATATCAGTACTTTATCCAATAAAAAAGCCTCCTGCGAGAATCTAACAAAATAGAAAAAAGAACCCAGCTAAGAAGAATGTTGGGAAAAATGCCAAAACCGATGCGGTAGGCTTAACGTGATGCTCTTGCCATTCTGCGCGTGTTCTCTTCTTCTCTGACAGGAGCTGCTCGACATGCCAACGTATCAGCGCACGAATACGAAATGCACTATTGATCTTCTCCAAACCCGAAGATGCAATCTTGCTATGCGCCGGCGATATCGGATTCTCATCTAACATTAGCAGGACTAGTGTCGTAGTAGAGCAAGACTATGCTACAGGAGTGTATTGTAGTGTATAATTATACAAATAGCACACATAAGATGGTTCTTTGACGTAGAAGATTTAATATTCAATTATACTAACAGGGGTAATACTAGAACAAGTAGTTGCCGTGGTACATATTATACATAGAACAATATTATTGATATCTGTGGCAACTACATTGGAATCATCATCATGATCTAAAAATTGTACCATGCATAGATAAGCATAACCAGTGAAAAACAAAAATATTATTTTCGAGGCGTGTCTTGTCATATTCCTGCATCATCATGAATCGGTTCTTGTACGATGCATAAGCATAATTAACCTACCAGTGACAAAGAAAAAGAATAGAGGCTACTTGTCTTGTCGTATATTTCCTGCATAACTTATCCGGAGACGCCGCCTTGAGGAGCATTTGCTTGGTCCAGTTGTCGACGCGGATCTCATGGTCGTGAGCGGGGAACCGAATAAAGCAGGAGTCGTCTTTCAGAAACTCAAATATTGCATAGACGACAGTTTCGGGTACCGGGCCCGTCACAGCCGGCTTCGAAAAAGCGGCCTCGTAGACATATGGATGGTGTCTATTTCATCCAGACAGACCATCGCGGTCCCCCTTAATCTATGTAGTTGTGAGGGCAAAGGGGCCAGCCTCGATGGTCTGATAGATGCGAAAAACATCATCCATAAGACAGCACTCAGCAGGCTGACGTTTTCTTGTGTTGTCTTCGTGAATCCGCGGCTTCGCTCTAATTGCATGGTCCCTGGTTTGGGCAGGTCCTTTCGAGATGCAGCTCGTGACGGTCCGGAGGCACTGCTGCCACCTTTTTGTTAGAAGAAAATCAATGCGTCAAGAAGAATTATCATGTACTATGGCCCTTCGAAGCTGATTCATTAGACGATAATGTTGTCTCGTACGCTTGAGCTTGAGTTTTCTTTGGCGACTCGTCCCAGTGTGCTGAATCGAGAAACTGCGCTGGCAAAACGCAGATCGAATACGGCATGTCCTCGAGTAGGCTTTGAACTGCTTGGGCCTTTGGGTCTTCGAGGAAGTCCGCACCATCGACAACCATTCCAACAGCGACGCTGCCCGCAACCTTGTTGAGTAACAAATTGGGACCATCCTCGCCCAGGTCAATCGTCTTGCTCAAATACGAATTCATTTTTGTGCCTACTTTCACTTGTCAGAAACTAGTACTCTATCCATGTTCATCGTGAAAGATAGAACTCAAAAACCGGAGTCAGTTGTTCTTGTACTTGTCTAGTTACCTACCCAAAATTCACAAGTGAGTGTGAGAAAAAATCAAGATAAGGCTCATCAAATAGACATAAGAGTATAAAGACTATAAAAGCACTTTTTCGTGCGGGAATAGAAGTTTTTGCATCTAAAACCAGAAAAATTTCAGATCTTCGCATTTTGTGCCGTCATGATCGTCAATGTAGCTGGCCATTCTACTAGTACTTATAATATTTTTTTTTTTGTGGCGTTGTTACCTGGGTTCGGGGTTTCTCGCGCTCTTACGCATAGACGCCATAAAAATTGTTCCCTTGCAACAGACTCCTGTGTGCTTTGGGTACAAGTCCATTTTTTATCAGTTTTAACACAGATTGATAAGATGAGATCCGTACAAATTAGAGCTTTGGCTACAGAGAGACGGTGAAGTCCTGCACTCGCGCTCGCTCGCACATACGTATTCTCTCCATTGACACTATGTATCGATTGTTGTCACAAACCGACATTTGCACTAAGACCAGACGCTCCTGAGTTAGGCCAAGCGTGGACAGTTACTATCCACACAGAATCACCAGAATCCTCCTAAAACCGCTAGTTTGAGGTTGTTGTAAGTCTGCACGACTATGCACCAAGCGTCTCGTCTTACTACGTAGAGATGGATGGAAAAAAGGAGTGATGAGATTTGAAGTGGAATCACCAGCGCCACTGCTTGCAGAGCTCTGATGAAAGAGAGCGAGTGCGTGTCCCTTTTTGTCCTTACGATCATTGAAGGAGGCAGGAAAAAATGATGTCCAACAGCTGCAACAGCGGAAGCTAAAGCTATTCTATCTATATCATTTGTAGTTCACCTTCATCAGGTAATGAAAGGGATGAAGGTACGCATTTTTCTTGTTATGTTGCGGCCCTTGATACAACTAAAGGCATAGGCATGTGTCTCGAGCGGTCATACACATACTACTATGGAGACTATTTATAACAATAGCCGGGACATCATAGGGATACCAGTTACTAGTTCTCTTTTTTTGTTAGCACCACATTAGGGCAATCCATCTGGTGGTACGCCGTCCCGAATAGTTTGGTCATTTGCAACGAGGTCATGTAACTTCAGGGCTATCCGCTCTTTCACAAGCGTGCGGAGCTGGTACGCGTGACATGCTTTCCGCAACTCGCCATTCTCCACTAGCAAATCGTAAAAACACATGAACGGAGAAAACAAAGAACGCTATTGCGACAAAAGATTGAAGAACTTGTTGTTGCTGGTCATAGTAACGAGTTCTGTTGTAGACGTAGTACGACCACTAATGTCTCTTACTTAGATGGATATCGAAATCACTATGAATACATGGTGCGCTGTACTTAAGTATTCGGAATATTTACGTAACAGTACATGGACTCGTTAGTATGTTTTTCTGTTGCGCATAAGAAATTCTGGCAAGAGAAAATCGTGACCGATCAGCTGGTTCTCAGGCAAGAAGTTGTCAAGTGCTGCATCGATCTTCGTTCCAGTGAGCTGCACCAAGTTCTGGAACTGCACGCTGTCCAGTTGCCCTTGGTCCTCAATTTCTTCGAGCTGAGCGAATAGCCTAGTGTGTAGAGCAACAGGAGTTAATAACATTTGTGGTAAAGCCCCGACTAAAATGAAAGAAAGAAACATGAAACAGAAAGACGTTGTAAAGGATTTAATCATTGATAGATTAGGATTTGATTCAGAATATTCTATCATCCACAAGCAGCTGCTAATAAATAGATTAGATGAAGACATTGAAAGTAGAGCATTTTAGTCGTTCCTTGGAACTTTACGATCAGACCAAAGCTAGTTTGTAGATCTAAGAAAGATGAAAAGATTGCATCGGCGGACGAGCAAAATGGTAGTACGAAAAAGATTTCATCTCTGTCCAGGCTTTCCGTAGTCGGTCTATTGAAAGCCCTTGCAACTCGCCAACAGGCAGCGCTTTCTGCTTAATTTTTTGCTCCAATGTTCATTAGAAGAGTGTAGACGAGTGCGTGGAGATCTTCAGTTTCTCGGAATTCTCTAGGAAAAAAGTTGTCAAACATCGACTCACTTACTGAATATTTTTGTTTTCCATTCTGGAGGAAACACAACAGGTGATGCTTCAAATCAAAACCTGTTTTAAAAAATCATTCAATCATCATACGATGGTACAATTCTTTCTACTTCAACAGTTTAGTATATTCTAGAAGACACTAGGCAAAAATTTTCGACGCACAAGGAAGCTTTTCCATAATCCAGATTATGTCTGCGAAGCTCACAGTTTTCCACTAATGCGTTCTGCAGTGCTAAGAGACTCATATCGTGTCTACTTGCTGCTCGTCGTATCTGCCTTGCGTTCTCCTGCAGTTGCATCACAGCCTGGTGGTGCCGGTCAAGACTGCTGCCACGTGGATATGAAGAATCACATTACTACAGCATATGAATATATATTGCTTGAAATCCGGCGTCGGGGTTGGTCATCAACAACAGCAAGTAGGAGAGAGTTTTTGCTTCGGTATACATAGACGATAGATAGTACAAACAAATTGGCACTTCTGGTATATCTGGATAAGTGGTTTCTCTGCTGAAGTACATCATCATCTTCAATTTCTATTTCAGTCATAAAGCGAAGCTGTCCAGGTGATCGATATGTCGCTTCCTGGCAATCATATCGCGCGTGAGGATAGTGCGTGATATCTTCTCACGACGCAGCTGGCAGACTTCGACGTTAGAGGAGCTAGAAGTATTATCTTCTTGCTGTCCTAGTATGCTACTTGTACAAGAGCAGCAGCAGAAAACTATAATCCACCTAATGAATGGAAGAATCGAAAAACTATTCTATTTGCGTATGTATATATCAATCAGTGGATACATGTCAAACCGCATGAAGATGCAGTTACAGCGAACCCGTAACTAGAAAGAGCGCGTTGAGAAAACGTGCTGTTTTACTCCCTATTTTCCGGAATTCCTTCTGCTGCTGCTCTTGCGCTTTGATAAAACGGTCTAGCAAACCCAAAGCGTCAGGATATGAAGAACAAAATTGTGATCATAATGGCAATGCTACCATCGTATTAATTTCCTATGATTCACTTCTCCGTCTGGTGGCCATGATTTGCCCTTTGTGCTTTTAATCTTTCTCCTGATGAACATGAAAATGAATTCAATCCTGGATTATAGAAGTAGAAAATCTGTAGTATCCACCACGATTTATGAGAAAAAAAAGGATCATATTCATACTTCTCTTCGTTTGCAGTTCCAAAGAAGATTACAGAATCCTGCTACATAGATATAGTAGATCGAGCGAGGCGTTTGCGTCGAGGTCGTAGCTGTTGATTTCGTTGGCCGCTCGTTGCTTTATCTCCGACTCTTTGTTAGAGCCCACAATAATTCATCTTCTTTATCTTGATCTTTCGCTATTGGTTCATAGTCTTAGAATCTTAGAAGGAAAGTGAGATAGATTGATGCGTAGTTTCTGTGGACATGGAGATGCATGATTTATTATAAGCGTGAGCCTTAACGTTGTTTGCAAGCGGGTTGGTATTGATCAGGTAGTTGTTGTGGCCGTCGACTTCATAAGGCTGCCCATGCTTCAAAGCGAGCACTTGTTCGTACCAATCCCTCGTCGTGTCGAGACACGTGCGAAGCATATGTATTCCCTGATAGACAAAATTGTCCTTCGACAACGCTTCGGATCGTCAGTTAGAGATTGAAACTGTAAGATGTTCATCTTGTGACCACAAGGCTAGTCCTTGTGCCATCTATTGCATATGCTGGTGCTACCAATATCATGGACCTGGTTCTTATTGGACTTACGCTTAGACTTTCATATCGTGTGTCACTTCTTTCCATAAGAGCTTTCTCTGGCTGTACCATTTCTGTCATTGCCTCCTCGGTCTCATCCTCTAGGAGCATTTCATCATCGTCTAAACCTTGGCCCTCTTAGTTTTAGAGCCTTCCTCGTCGGCGTCGACCATCCCTTTTCTTTCATAGTCATTGTTCTGTGTCATTGTTCTGTTGTGACTTTCTGCGAACCCTTACAGAAGGCATGCAGTTCTTGGTCATGTATATGTCGAATCCACCTTCCTGGTCAAGTCTGAGAAACAACAAACTATCAATGAATAAGCATCGAAGCCGCGGAGAGAACAGTGATAGAGAATGAGCTTGTAATGATAATCAAGAGCCTTTGCCTTAATCATTGTAGTCAACGTATGCCATCATCGTTTTTTGACCGTCTGGGCCACGGACGAGTTCTAGCTTCCGTATGGCATAGGGATGTAGCGCCAACAGCGGCGTAGGTAGCAGCAAACTGTCTTGGTCGAAGCTGATCGGAATCAATCCGCAAAGCACGTCGCCCCAAGCGAAGACGTCACCCTAGAAAGATTAGTTCAGCACAGCAGTGCATGTCAAAAAGGAAGATAGTTGCAGCTGATCCTATTCTCATATAAAGAACACAAACGAGTCGCACATGTTATAGGGTTATCGTGTGAAGACGAATTCGCGTTCTTCGTTGTTATACTAGATGCTACCTTTACATAAATTGGTTTACCTTGATATTGATTATAGTCTGTTTGTACAACATTGACATTCCAATTTTCTGAATACACACAGTGCTGTTTCCGAAAATCTTAATCTTTTTGCACTTACAAAACAAGAACATTCCAATTTGTCATCTAGGTACTAGTGCCACACACTCAGACTCGCACAGTATCTATATTATAAGAAGAAACAAGAAACTACCTTGATCGTAATCGCAAAGGACAAGGAGCAACTGTCTACGCATAATATCGGCAGGACCCTATTGTGTACAGTAAGAGATGAAGCAGCAAACTACCTTGATCGTAATCGCAAAGGAGCAACTGTCTACGCATAGTATCTGCCGGACACTATCGTGTAGTGGAAGCTCGGCTGGAGCAAATCGACTGCTCACATCCCCAACTCCGAGTTGCCCGTACTCGTTGCTCCCCCAGGCGTAGACGCGACCGGCTGCTGTCAGTGCTAGTAAATGCTTCGTCCCCATTTGAATATCCACAACAGCTTCATCAAATGCTAGTGCTTTTGGGTCACTCGAGGCTGTCGTGTCTGGGCCAAGTCCAAGGCAGCCTTGTTTATTTTCTCCCCATGCGACCACGGTGCCATCGGTTCGTAAAACGACACAGTATGTTTTCGCGATAAGAGTTTTTTGCACTGCCCCCCGCACTTTCTCCGTCAGAAGAGGTTTTTCGATTATCGTGTCATGCCACGCACCCCAAACGAGAAAATTCTTATTGTCCTCGGATGCGCGCGCAGCAGCAGTGTTCTCGCTTGCTGGCGTCCTCGTGGACGCTCCCCCTCGATCAGCACTTGCCGCCATTTTTACAACTTTTGCGTATCCTATTTCTTCTTCTAAGAAAGTGTAACAAATATCTTGGTATTTTCCACCGCTTGAAGAAAACAGTGGTCATAAACATAATTTAGTCAAGCTAGGTAATTCATCATCGAAGAGAGCTAATGCGAGGCCTACTAGAAGACTGTGATGAACTAGTCTCATACCACGACCAGCTTGAATGTCAACATACCACCTTCACCTTGTCGTGCAGTGTCATAATCTTCAGACTACAGTCATTTCCCCACAAACCAGCTTTTTTTTGTCTGTTTCGTCAATCCTGAGTTCTGCTTTTCTCAGCGATTTAGATATTTTTGGTTTGATAATTGATTCGTGAATGTAGAAGGTCCCGCGCATGCCATATTTCCTCAGCGTCCTCACCCGCAAGATAGTGCCTAAACTCAAAATCCCTCCAAGGAGTGACGGATTTCGGACTCCGGCATCACGAGACCCTGCAAGAAAAGCCTAGGTTGATCTTCTGTTGCTGCCTCGCCGTTGGTCACTTTCTTCCTGCCCAAGTAAAGCGTGACCGTCGTAGACGACTCAATCTCGCCAATTATACGTCAAGTAGACTCAAACCTGATCGGATCGAAGAACCATGTACTTCTACGGCTGTTTCCAACCTCGTCCAGTTTCTTTGTTACAACAACTCTTCATGCATACTGTAATTGTACGCGATGTCGAACCTATTTGACGCGCAAGTTCTGGTCCCCTTGTTCTCATCGCGTTCTGTAGCGAAGAAATCATTTTTACTGAATTCTTCAGGGTCTTGCTGAATGGATGCAAAATCAAAGAAAAAGAACAAGAACTACTTCATTCCCCAGAAATATTATTCGGCTTCAATCATAAAAAAATCTGGATAATTGAAAAACAACAACTCGACTAGAAGACAGTTTACCACGATTAGAAAATCTTTAATAAGTTTCAGTAGTTGAACAAATTCATAATAAACTCTGCTAGATCTATATGACAAAATAACACGATAAGAAAGTAGTAGAGATAGCACAACTCAACTTGATAACTGTGCCTCTTTTAAGCCAGGAGTGCTTCCACTGTCGCGTCTTCGGATCGGTATTCATATCGTTGGTAAAAGTCGCGCGGAAAAAGCCACGGGAGAGAAACCCAGGCCTGAGACTTTGCAGGGATGTGCAGGACCTGATGCAGCTCGGACAGACTGCTACGAACTGCGACGCTCTCGTCTAGGTTGTTCGTGACGCGCACAACAGAAGACAGATGCAAGTCAAACCGATTGCAGATACGCGAAAGGACTGTGCGCTTCAATATGCGAATAACTTTTTCCTCAGCCGATTTGCGCGCGCCGCACCAACAATGGTATATCGAGGCAACATTTCTATATAAAGACTTCTGCCCCCGGTCAGAGTACTACTGCCGCGCAGGCACCGCCGAAACGTGTGAGAAACCAGCTCCAGCCCGCATCAACCATGTATTAGTACTAAAACTAATCGCAAGATGTTGCTGCGACCTCGCTCGGGAACAAGCTGCGCCGCAATTTGTCCCGCCTCCTGACGGAATAATCGGCGTAGCATAGACGGTCTGGACGTGATGGACCAATCTAAGCGCTGCTTACATAGAAGACAGAGCGACTTCTAAAAGAATAGCGTTTGATGGCATTGCGGGCCGCGAGAGTCGTCTACACTGACGGAAAACGCAGGATTGCGACGCAGGCGCTCCACTTGACGGTGCATGCACCACAGTGCGGAGAGATTTCGAAAGGAGTTTATTGCCACTGGAAACTCAGAAAATGCAAGAGCTGGAAAGCCCACTTCGCCTTCCTTTGCTGGCCGAAGACTGTAGAGCTGCCTTAGGTTTTGCGGTCGCTGGTCATGCAAAATCCTGCCCGGTTGTCCGAAAGGTGAAATCGTCTTTGATGGATCGTAGTCATCTGTAGTTTCCTCCTCTTGCATTTCTTGTTCTGGTGAAAGCTTAGTGGTTGTAGTGTTACCACGAGAAGACGACTTCTTCCCATTTATATTTTCCGCTAGACGAGCTCCCTCGTCTCCGAGCAGAATTCGTCCTCGCCGTGGAGAGTACCGGTATGCGCAGTGGATAGTGTGATGCAGGCGGCCCTTGGTGTAATGCCAGTTGTGTCGCTGCAGCATGGACGTGCGCATAGCCGGATCCAGATCCGGACTGTGGACGTTGTACAAACGTTGTTCCGACTTTATCCACATGCCACCGCAACCCTCCACAAACGTCCGGACCGGGTTGTACGCTAGTCGCACATGCTTCAACAACGGCCGTGAGGAAACGACGAATTTGTCACGTCCGAAGCGGTCCAGCACGGCAAGCTTGCTGTATGAAAAGAGGCGGGCTTTTTTTTTTCTCAATATTTGAAGTTCTTATCTCCTACACCTATTTGTCGAGCTACTATTTTAATTTAAAGTATCACTTTCTGACTCTAGTACTTAATATGTATTCAAAGCCAAGATCACATCAATTGTGATTCTTTTCCATCTATGAACAAAAGTGGGTTCTTGTTTGAAGTGACGCTCGTCTTGTTGACATAAATTTGGCCGGATTTGCAATTCGCCGAGACATGCGCCTAACAGTCGGTCATCTACGTGCCCAGCAAAGTGGGCGCGACAAATGTCAGTTGCACCTTGCACATGACCGTTGCCCTCTATCGGGAAGCGGTCGCGTGCCCACCACCGAGTTTGACGAATGCGCGCCAAGTACGCCGACAGCTTTCGCAGTGCCGCGTTGGAAAAGCAAGTCGCCGGACCACCGTCGTTGAACGGCAATGCGCCATCTCGCGACATGTGGTACAAGGTAGCGCCTAAAAAGTGCTCCTCGCGTGCGTCTAGGCTGCTCTCATCGACCATCTTCCGAAAGTTTTCGGGGATGAAGTACGCATCTCGGTCTAAACGACAAACCCAGCTGTTTGCTGGAAAAAAGCGGGCGGCATACACGTACATCAAAAACACCTTCGCCTGAGTGTTGTAGATTGTCTTTCGCTTGGATTTCATCTTACTGGGCCGCATATTCTCCCTATCATCTGGTCCGTGCTCGAGGCCTTGATGTGGTGTTTCTTCGTTGTTATTATTCGAATTTGCAAAGGTCACTGAAGACCCAGGACCTGGCGCTCCGTCTCCATCACCTCGTCCTAACGTCGCCGACATCGTTTTCGCGTTTTGCTGCCACTCCACGCCCTTGGTGTCGGAAGTGCCTTTACCGCTTCCTTTGCGTTCTCGTGCCCCGCCGTGATTTTCGTCCGCCAAAGCAGGCGGCCGCGGTGCATCACTAGTGCTGTACCCCGGCGTATCCCCAGCACTGCTACTCCCATCGCTTTGCTGCGAGCCGCTGCTGCTATCGTGCTCGCCCCCCGAAGTGCCTTCACTATCCGGCAGACCCTCCGAAGAAGATCCCTCTGGTTCTGCCAACACAGCTGCCGCGACCATGATGCTCTCCTGTGAGGACATTCCCATCTCCGCTCGCTCGGCCTTCATCAGCTTTAGCTGCGTTTTCATATCGTAGTGCTGGTCGCTGCGATCCGCTGTCATCTCCGAGCGGAAAAACCTTCGCAAATCCACGACGTCATTCGGGATGAATCCATTGCGCTTGCAATGAGCCGTCCAAGAATTCCAGATCAGGTCGAACAAGTTTGCCCGCGCTAGAAGATTTTGCTCTGTCGCTTTCGATGTTGCAGCCTGGAGCGTGTCTCCAGTTGCAGCAGTGCCAGAGGCACTCATAGTTCTTCCTCCTGGAGGAGATGGACTATCTTTATTTTCTCCTACCGTAAAATTGGTTCCCGAGGAAGACGAAACATGCTCCGCGACTGCGCTGTCTCCTGATGCCAGCCACGCCTCTTCCTCTTCTTCTGCTAAAGATTGATGTGGTACTTTGTGCTGACGCAATGTTGGCGAGCCTCCATTGATATCCTGGGCTGTTGACCGTCGCGAGCTTGCTTCTTGATCTTCCTCAGGCAGCTGCTCATCCACTAGTGGAATGATTGTCTGCTCCACAGCGCGCGCGAGTCCAGCAGTTGCTCGCCGATTTTCGTCCTCCAAAATCTTCTTCGGGGTTTCGCTTTCACTAAAAGTAGCCTCCATTAGGTCTACCGCGTTAGCATCCCTGGGTGCATCCTCGGCCCGTTTTTCAAGTAGAACAAGGGCCAAGGATGATGCTGAGGATGCTTCTGCGGTAGCCTTAACTCCAAGTGAGTATCCGAGTGCCACCAAATGCCGTATTCCTCATCAGGTAGCGCAACGAAAAAGAGAACGCGATTACAGCGCAGCGGATTCGTCGGATCAGCGGCACCCCATGTTTCGAGGATGCGGCGCCGAACATCTTGTTGCGCGGGCCAAACGAGCGGGATCATGCAAATCAGCGGCGCAAAGCCTCCCCTGCTTGCGTCCGATTGTGGAGAAGAATTCCGATGATCATCTTTTTGAGATGAGTCATCCACTGCCTCCTGTTCAGCACTAAACGGATCCCGAATTGGCTTGTATACTTGCAGGCCGCTATGTTGTGCACGAACCGTTGGACAGTCACGAAGCTGAACGCCCGCAAAATTGCCATCAGAGTCGGCACTTAATTCTAATGACACGCTGCGTGCTAGCGCGCTCAGAGCGTACTTGTGCTCTTCTCCCGGTATCAAGGCAGCCAATTTGACGGCAATGTCGTTTGGACCGCGATCGACAACAGCAGCTGTTCTTGGCGAAGCTCTACGTCTTGTCGCTCTTGATGTTGAAGGACCTTCCCCGTCGTGTACTTGCTTCCAGTGTTTTCTTACTGCTTCTTCGAAATCCCCAACACGGATCCAGGGGTAATGCGGAACGTGGTAGACGTTTTCGCGACCAACAGCCATGAATTCGACGTTCGCTTCGAAGTTGAGCAGGATCTCGGTCGCGGACATGAACCGCTCGTACACGCTTTTTCTGTAGCACTCCACCCCGGCGCTTGCCAGAGACTCAACGGCCGCGTCCAGGTAGATATTGTGCAAGCGGTGGTCCTCACTGTAGACGCAGTGTGCGGAGAAGAAAGCAAGGTCCGCAGGACACCGCTCCGGCAAGTCCGTATGTTCGAATGGCATCATCGCGGAAAGTCCGAGAGGGTCCATCTCCACGTAGCGATCGCACAACGGATGCTCAAGACCGCCCAGAGCGGCGACTGGCGGTGAAGGCGGGTCCATATCACGCAAACTAACATGTGGAACAGGCTTTACAACTACTGACGACTCACCCCCTGACTTGGGTTGTTCAGGAGAAGACTTACTGCTTTCAGCTGTTGCTGCTTGTGCGGAAATCGTCTGGATTTCCCTGGCGGCGTCCCTTGCAATTTCAAGCACATTGCTTTCCATATCTGGGCTCGGCATTGCTCTCCCGAGATGTTCGAGTACCCAAGGTAGATTACAAGCGCACGGCCGCTCCCGCTGTGCAACATCTTCGGGTTCGGCCGTCGCACCCAATGTGGGAGATACGACACTGGTGAGGAGCAGAAGCGAAACTGGAATCATCATTATCTTCTTGGAAATAATTGGACAGTTATACAACAGCAAGACCTGTTCATGGCCATTCAGAAGAAATTCTACTTACATGGTGCAAATCAATGTGTTCTGCGACGAACACTGAAATCGTAAGGATACGACGCGTAAAGGCGAATGAGCAGCCATTCCTCGTGATGTCTTATGCAAAAACTCTCCTCCCTCGTCTCATTTGAATTTCTCTGACAGCTTCACTCGATGAATAAAGATATCATCAAGAACAATACTGAACAGCACTGCTACTTTCATTCTCGGTTTTGGCCGCCCGCCGTCAGGAATTTCTTGGTAGCGCGCGTGCTTCCACGAGGAGGAAGCCGCTTAACTTCATACCCATAGTCTTCTTTGCAGCCAACAGCGCGGCGCATTGCGCGGCCACAGGGATAGGCGCCTACAAACTTGCTGAACTGTGGCGCATGCAATGCGCTGATCGAGCAATCGTGGCTAGTAAAAACGAAGAACAAGAAATACTCTGATGAAGAATCCCGTTCTGAACGTTGTTTATCTGTGAATGAAGTTACGAAGCCTCGTTGCAAAAAACTAAAGCGAGTAGTTTTCCTCTAGCGTTTATTCATTAATGATCACACTGACTCAACGAACAAGTTAGTAAAAGTAACAAAAAAGGTCGTCTGTTCAGTCTAGCCAAGTGATGTAGAAGCCCTGTCTGTGTCCCTGGTGTCGCAGTCGAACGTAACCACCTAAGAGACATTATCGCATAGAAGTTATGGTAGGACCAAGTGCAGAAGCAGATGATGCTAGAAAAAGAAGTCTTAGTTACACATCCGTTGTGATTTGCTGCAAACCCAGAACCGCGAAGGCTGGCCCAATTAACTGGCTCAAGCAAACGACCGCGATAACCACGTCAGCAACGTCTTGGCCCCAGTCGGAAAACAGTGCTACAGTCTCGAGGGCCAAACCCAAAGCAACCCCCGCTTGTGAAAGCATGGTCAAGCCCATGGTGTGGCGCATGGCATAAACATTTTTAGCGAGAAAGTTCTCAACATGATCTGACGGCTGACCGGTTTCGATGACTTCCCTCTGCGTTTCCGTCGTTGCATCACTCTCCTCGTTTTCTGTTCTTCTTGAGCCGCGATCGCTATTATTTTGTGATCTTCTTCCGCGAGCTAAAAAAACGCTAGCCACGTAGCACCCGGCCATCACCGCAGCAAAGCGCAACACAAAGATCAACAGCGCGGTGTCCGCCAACGAGAATAGAACCCGGAGTCTCAAGCTCGCTCCAGTGATCGTAAAAAACGGCAAGAAAACGTGAGGCGTAAATGTTGTGATGATTTCTGATAACTCCTCGCGAATGTCCGGGTCGTGACCAACGAGACATGCCAAAAATGAGCTGACTAAGAGCGGCTCGAGGCGCACTGCATGGTTTGTCGTTTCCGCAACTTGCTCTGCAACCCAAAACAGCGACAACACTACTGCCAAGACTGTAATTGCCTTTGCTGTAATTGCTATGTGCTGCAGGAGCGTACGCGCCGAGGCGCTACTGGCGAGCGCCTTGCTGCTTAAGCGAGAGTTTGCTCGATAGTCGGCAGAACTGCTGCGGGGAACAGCGGATTCCCGCAGCGCGCCCATGTCCTGAGTGATGGATGTTAAAAAGGAAGACATACAGGCGCCCGTTTCACTCAGGAAGCCAATATATAGCGTGCTGGCACCGAGACAAGAGTGCGCATGTACTGAACCCGCGATCACCTTTTATCTACGGCGGGCCAGGTCTGCAAGTGCGGTGACAAGAGAGCAACCAGCGAGGCAATTAAGTGCCTCGCCGCCTGTCCCTTAAGTGACACAAGTTTCATCCTTTAAGGTTAAGCGTGCCACATGCTGCGAGTGAAGTAGCACGTTCGTTTAAAAGTTGGAGAGTCGCTGACGGAATTCAACGCAAGGTTCAATACGTAAGAGAGGCCGGGAAGTACATGACTAGCCAAGCGTGTACGAAAAGCTACTTAAGAAGGGACTACCTCTACCATCTCATCCTCAGCATCAATATTTATCGCCCGATCTGCGCGCTTTCGAGAATCCATTAATTGCTTATCGGATTCTGTTCGAGCACTGTCCACCAACTGAGGCGCACTGCCAGCTATGTCTGGAGGTTCGGCCCCATCTTCTTTTTTTCTCCCAAGTCCGCGCACTGGCGAGTCCGCATCCAACGGACCCTCGGCCGCGCGGTCCGGATTTTGACTCAGGCGGCCCGTGATGCGGCGATAAAGGGAACCAAAACCGGTCGACCGTATGGGCCGAGAAGCTGCAATATCCCGCAGAAGGTCGGCTTCCGCAGCTACACTGTCTTCAAAAGATGCGGAAGCAGCGTCTAGAGGGAGGACGTCCTTTGTGACGGGCGGACCCGAAGGGCGTTTGCCGTCTTGCTTCTGTGCATCTTCACCTGCGGCTCCCTCGCCTTCCGCGACAACCGAATCCAAATTCGTGTAAACGTACGCGGCGCCAGCGCTGCCGCGCGAGTTTGACTCTCTTCTGACCGGTGCTCGTCGCGCTCCGCAACAAAATTTGAAACCACGGTAAACAGCGCGTACAAAGTACCCGAGCGCTATGCCCATCGCGATGGATCCGCCAAGTGTTGTTGTCAGGTCGACGCCGACGTGAGCGGCGATCTCGAGGGCCTCCTCGGTTGAAAAACGGTCGAGGTGGCTGTACAAGTCTGTATGCGCAGGCAGCTTTGGGGGCTTCGGAAGAGGCCTTGGCACTGCAGGCTCTTCGGATCGGTCGCTGAAAAGATCTGAGAAAATATTCATGGCCGCCTTGGAGGCACTGTTTTCGGAAAAAGCAAGCTTTTGCTTTTTTCCGCTGAGCTCAGACAGTTCTCGAGGAGAATACTCAGTGGCCGCCCCTGCAAGACTAGACGCGCCGGCGCGCGCCTGAAGGCGACGATGCTTGTCTTCCGACTTTTGATGCGCATCTGCAGGCGCAACCACTTCGGCCGCAGTGGGTTCTGCATCTCGCCTCGCCTTCTTCACTGTCAGACCCTCACTCGGCTTCTTCACGATCGGCGTTGTCTCCACTTTTTCTTTGCCCTTGTCGTCATGTTCGTCGTGCATCGCTGACTGCGCAGCTTTAGCCAACTCGCCTCTGGAATTTTTGGCTGGTGCTTTTTCTTCTTTTTTCTCATCGGGCAGGCTGATCGGAATGCTCTCAACGTCATCGCGGGACTTTTGACGCGAGTGAGGAGCCCCCCGGGCCTCATCTTCCTCGCCCCCGCGGTGACCGTCAGCTGTCGCGTCCGCTGTTTGATCATCCGTGGTGGATTGACGGCTTTTGCCATGTTCTCCGCTCGTGCTGGCTCTCGCGGTGTGTTCCTGCTGTCCCGCCTGCTGCACGGTCCCGCCTGCTGCACTTTCTCCCTCTCCTTCGTGTGATGCGGATTGATCAGCACTTCCTGGTAGTGGAGCGTGCCCACCAGAATCGTCTGTACTCCTGTCATGACTAGTTCTTGGTAGCTCCAATTTACTGCTCGAAGAGCGATCCTTCTTGGCTATTTCCGTATGGTCCTCTTGCTTATCGTTGCTACTTTTCATACCAGCACGACGTCGTGCGGAAGGGTTCGGGTCAAGCAACACGCGAATCAAACTACAGACGAGAGAATAAGCGATGAGCACTGCCAGATCATGTGCAATGACGGTAAGCAAAACCACTCGCAAACAGCTCTGCGCTGCTCGCGAAGCTTTGTGGAATAAGTTCAGGTGGTCGCACACTGCGAAGAGAGTCGTGGGACTTCGCGCTATCATGATGGCCGCGACCAGTAAGCACGCAAGAAACCCTGGAGGCTTTGTCCGGTCGAACGCCGAGTACGGAAACATGGAGAACAGCCACCAGGCACCCACGCTGACGAACACAAGCGTAAAAACCGAGACCGCTGCAACTACGACCAGAACGATCCACCACACAGACCGGATCTTCGGCCAGTAGAATTCGAGGCCAGCGGTGATGGCAATAAAGGATAGGCACACGCGGTTCAAAGGCTTTTGAATCAGGTAGACCGCAAAACGGGAGACCAAGTTCGTACCGAACGGCCCCAAAACAACGCCCATCAGCAAAAATCCAGTTATCTGTGGCAGCAAGCCGCCAGTTAAAGGGTTGATATACTGCCCCAACACGTAGCTGCTGCTGGATGCGACCACGAAGGCGAGAATGACGTCGCGGTAGTCCCCCAGGCTGGTCCACATCTCACCGGCAACCACCTCCACATCCTCTACCCAGAAGCAACTACCCTCGAGCTGGATTTGCAAGTCGTAAGTCCCTCTGAATATTTCTGGCGGAATGGGCTCTGGGTGTCTGAATTCAAAGGTAAAGGTCTCAAACATTTCAAGTGCGCAAGAGTCACCCTCATCCTTGTCGCCATCCTTGTTGAGGATCATGCCCATGAGGGACGTTGGCCCAGTGATCCCTTTGTCGTCATCTGTTGCCTTGTGCCCATCGGCAACTCCTGAGTCATCTTTCTTCGTTACTCCAGAAGCGGCGCCACGCTTTCCGTCCCCGTGGTGGCCACTTACAGAAGGTCGCGACAGCAGGTCACAGAGTTCCCCCTCGAAGTCGAACACCGACATGCAGTCCTCGTATCGACGGCAGTAAAACACGCGCACGCTGAACTTCCCGAGTTTTGCGATTTTCACATTAGAAATCCCGAAGAGTCGCACTATCAAAGAATTCGCAGTGCGTATAACTGCTGGCTCGTGCTCCACCCGAACTAATCGAAGTCGGGCCGCCTCAACAACATTGCGGCACGGCACGATATGCCCTGTTGCGGCCGCAAATGTCAAGTGAGCCTGTCGAAGCGTCTTCGTGTGAGGCGCTGGACGCCCAGCAGCACGCCCATTCGTCGCCACGCTCTCCATATCAGGCGAATGACAAGGACCTAGGACCCACTCGTGGAGGTTTATCCACTTGAAAATATCTATATCAGCTGTCAGCAGGGATATCAGGACTGCCCAGCCGATAACGCCAGCGGCCGCACGCACGGGCTGCGCAAGACGCACTGCGCATCTTGACAACGCCTTCTGCTCTCTTAGCAACATGCTTGGTTTTATCATAGCTCGAAGCCATGCCTCCCATCAATCGTGGATTCTTGAACCGTCATGCTTGTTCTTGAAGAGGAGTTGTTGTTCTACTCGTGATTAATAACATACTCTGAGTGAAGGAGGCCATGACTATTTAAGTACATGCAGTAAGCAAGCTCACCAGAACGAAGCATATCGAAAAAAGACTCAAGAAGACTTCTTGGTTACAATTTGCCTCGGTTGTGTGCAAGTGAAAAGTCGCGCAAGGTTCATCCTTTTTCAAAGAAACCGCAACTACGTCCTCCTGAGCAAACCACGATAAACCTCTTTCGGTGGTCATTTTCTTCTACTTGCCCAAGTGAGTGATGTGAGCGTTATAAACGACTCAATAGTGCCTGTGCCGATACGTGAACTAGACTCAAACCTGGTCGGATCGGAGAACCGTGTTTATCTCCGGCTATTCCCAACCTCCAGTTTCTTCGTGACAGCAACTCTTTACATGCATCCTGTCATTGTACAACGCGATGCCGAAAGTATTTCACGCGTAACTTCTGGTCCCCTTTTCATCGCGTTCCCTAACGAAGAAATCATCTTTACTTAAATTTTCAGGTTCTCGCGAAATCCAAAATCAAAGAACAAGAACTAGTTAATTCCCCACGACCTTGACCTTCTTCGGCTTCATTCATAAAAAAGGTTGGATAATTGAAAAACAACGAGGACTCGACCAGAACCAGAAGACATGTTCTTACGATTAGAATAATTAAAAACTTTATAAGTTTAAGAAACTTAAACTGTGCTAGATGACATAACAAAAACAAAACGACAAGTAGATGAAAGTAGAAGAAGTAGCATGATTCAAGCTGATCCTATTAACAAACCCCTTATGGCATAGCATACAGTTTATTTAATCGTATCTGCCTCATTCTTCGTCACGACCCGAAACAGAAACATATATTCAATTTCCCCAATTTTTTCATACAGAGCAACGAGAAGAACCTCAAAAATGATTACAAAATAAAGAAGAAATAACGGCAAAAATCATCGGTTTTTACGATCAAACGCGCAGAATCACCTATGGAGTCGTTCTTCGACTTCGATCCTATGTGATACAGAAGTATTAGTATCTAACAAGTATTCATTCGCTAACCAATCAAAATGTACAAAGTTCACGCGCATAAACGTGCGCCGATTTCATCACGGCAACTACTAGGTCTAGGTATGAGAAGTAATGTCAGGCCTCTCTATAGCATTACGGCCATAAAACATAATGCAGTAAGCACCAGTCCTTTGCCAATAGCATAATATTCCATATGTAGTGCTGCATACAACTTTTTCAAGAATAGGCGAAGCCCTTTTTTGACAGCCGACAGGGCCTATTTAGTACTAGTACATGATTTGGTGTTGTTCTAATTAGATCTGTTGTAGTTCGTTAGTTTGCTTTGCTTCGCGCAAGATGATCCATTACGTGGCCAAATACCAATAGAGCGTCCTCCGCGGTGTCGCAGTGCAATGTGTGGGTAGTTATTCGGAAGCCACGAGCGCCACCAGATAAGGCGCCTGACAGCTTAGAGCTTCCCCCAATTCATCCCTGTAGGGATCCCGCAGGTATATGCTTCCCTACCTCGTTCCCTGTATTGGGATGCATACGGTAGTTGCGGGAACGGGATCTCTATTTACAGATGGATTCGGGGAGGCCTTAAACAACTGCGCTGGGTCCAGTCCGCTGGATTCATTCGAGCCTTCGTCGCCTGTTAACGTGCGAACGCGCTCACGGATCCGCCTCTCTAGCTGGATTCTTGATTCTTGGTCTCGCGTACTGAGTCTGGTTTCTGTGGATACGAACTTTCCGACAGCGCCGGCAAATGTCTGCCGTCGGCGCGAGCAACCGAACCAGCGAAGACAGGAGCACATCGAGGATGAAGACGTCCGGCCGCTGCTCGCTGTCCTACGTGGCGAGGAGAATGGATCTTCCCCAAACATCGACGAGGGCTGTCCTCCTGCTCCTGTAGCAGACTTGCTGCCACCGCCGAAGCACGAGGAACCGCAGAGGCCGCGAGCCATGAGCATTTCGCCGCTGACGCGTCCACGCAAAACGACACCTTCGAAAACAACCACATTCGGGTGTGCCTGCTGCAGGTAGACTTTGAGACAGAAAAAGGTTTCCGGGAGGTTCCACACCACGGTCTCTTTCTCCACACTATTGGTCCTCCGTCGCGCACAGAGCAGCGTTATGCAGCGATGAAAAATGGAGTGCCGTCGCTTGCTCGCGGACACCACTTCTTGGTGCTCATCGCGCTCACCAGCTGCGAGCAGTGGTCGAGTTCCTGTCAACTTCCGAGCTGCGGCACGGCTCATGCGAGGGCGTTCTCGTAACAGCTCGAAACCCTGAACTAAATCCGTCGTTTCGCCGCTGCCGGAGCCGAACAATAGACGCGAATTCTGAGGAGAGACGGCATCATGTTGTTTTGCTTTTCACGTTTGATACATAGACAATGATGAGGTAGACCGAAGAAGACCAAAGTGATATTAATGATTGCTTTGCCTCCATAAGATAGAATTTTTCATGCGCATACAGGAATGCTGTTAGGAACATCAACCAAGTCTTCTAAAACAAACCGACTATGAATGACTAATCATAGTCTGATGTAAATTGAAATGCTTCATCTAGGTCTAAAACAAAACCACATAGTATTTCTTTGTACTAGCTCTTGAATAAAGACAACTGCGAACAATAAATTGATTGTGTGAAAAATACTCCTGTAGCTCCTCCTGTATCCGTCCGCCAGTTATGAGAGCCGTCGGAGATGCGCTTTCTTTTGGACGTTCGGCCGCGGCAAAGGTACATCGCTCCGCTGTCTAGGATCACGAAGGTGGCATTCGAAAGCGCACAAACGGACCAGAATCGGCGATCGACGTCTCGACAGTAGCCGCGCACAGCCTCAAGGGCGCTGGCCGCTGTCGCAGTGTACGTCTGCAGTTGTCCTGCTTTAAAACAGTTGAGATAGCGTGCTTCCCCCGGCGGATCGGAGATCAGCCGCCCGATCAGTGGAGAGATGGCGCTGATGAGGCGCGCCAGAAGCAGCTCGTAGGCCGTTAAAAACTTGGTGCTGGTCAGCAGCACCCCAGCCCAGAAGGCAAAAAATTCGAGTCAGCTGCAATTCATCCCGGTCCCCTCATCTCGACCCCTTTCCCATGAAATACAAGGGAGAGGGGTATCGAGATGCCGAGAAAGATGGATAAAAGCTGACCATAAAAAAAGAGGCGATGCATAATAGACACCAGCTTCCAGATAAAAAGGAGAATGTCAAGAAACGTGTAGCTGCTCTGCGTGTACCAGTGGCGCTCTATCATCACCCACCACGCATCGATGGTCTTCAGCAGAAACCACATCACCGAGTATCGGAGGCCCGCCTGGATAGTCTTCTGGATGCTCTGGTTGCTTTGCGTAACCAGCAAAGGTAGTCGCACACGCGTTCCTGTGGATGAAGATGGGAAGAATACATTCATAGGATTACTTAGGAACACTTCGTTGATTCTCCTGGCTTAAAGAATAAGCAGCTTCAAAAAGATTATTGTACACGCTGGCTCCGCTTCTAAAGAAATAGTAAGCTTCTTACACTAAAAATCTTCATCTCATTGATGAACCTGAACACATCGTCGCATAGCAAATTGAACAACACCTGTAAAAAAGAATCATATTTTTACTTCGATTAGATAATAGATCAATACGTTTTGAAGCAGAGTCTCTGTCCAAAAGATTCGGTTAGATGAAAACCAAGCATATTTTTACTTATTTGATTAGATTAATGTACCCAAACAGACGCGTGTGCAAATCTTTTGCAGCGTGATGAAGACTCCATTCGCACTATTGCTACTGGCATGAAGAATGAGGAGAAAGCCTGCTAGGGCACGCCGCACGACCTGGAGAAGCAAGTAACTGGCAATCGTCAGCTTCGAACGAAAGGGCAATCGCGGGTGCAACATCACCCGCCACAATACTGTGAAGCTCACGAACATAATCTGCGGCCACGCGGACCTGAGGTAAAACAAGGTTTATTCGAATTTCTTTTCCACATCATTTCTGGAATCGATGTTGGGCGCGCGCACGAAACATAAATTCAAATAAACCCAATAGTACTTTTACTTCGAGTCCCTACACTGTACACGGAACAACTTCTGGAAAAAGTTCTAGCTGCTACTTATCGACAACATCACGACTCTACTTTTACGTCGTGGTGCTGGTGGCCTACCCAATCTGCTAGAGCTGCAAATCAACAATGTCCTAAGTAAAAAAAAGTAGTTAGTAGTACACTGCTCGAACGATCTGCCCGAGGTTTCCAAAAATAGATGGCGAACCTAGGATGACAAACGACTGAAAAAGCAAGCTCGCCGTTATTAGATCTACCCTTACCCCATTGCGTGAATAGATCGCGCGAAAATACTCGCGCCAGTACTTTCCTCAATACAACAGCCCAAGAATTATCCATCAGGCACTACGACCAGCGCAGTACTTTAACGGGACTCTCTCACGTGGGGAAGTCGGGTTTTCTGGAGCCTTAACGATATTTTCGAGATAATCTGCGCCGTCAGATCTTGCGTGCCCTTAGTCAGAAACTTATCCTCGAGTTCTATTGAATGTACCCCCGAACCAGACAGAGCTCCCAATGCGAGGCGAGTGTCCTGAGATTTTTATAGGTTTGTATGCAATCTTTGTCTTATGAAATGATGTTGTGTGCTCGGTGCAAAAACGTCTAAAGAGTAAGTATCTATGAATACAAAGAGGTTTTTATGAAAGAATGAGCGAAAAAGCAGTTCTTTTGGTAACTACACTTGTGACAAGCGTAAAACCGTCATCGAGTCCTTGATGTGTTCCCTCTCTGCAAGTCTACGCTCCAGACATCACTGAGTCTTTGATGCGTTCCCTCTCTGCAAGTCTACGTTCTATTTGAAAACACTCCAGACATCACTGAATCTTTGATGCGTTCCCTCTCTGCAAGTCTACGTTCTATTTGAAAACACTCGAGACATCATCGAGTCCTTGTGTTCTCTTTCTGTAAGGACTTGAAAACATGATGCTTGAAAACATCTCTGTTAATTTGAAGTTATTATCCTGAAAGTACTTGAAAATTTTTCTACTTATTTGAAAACATGGTGCTGAGTGCGGTTATGATTGAAGTACCTGTATATCGACGAAAATGAGTGTTTTCGCCATTTCCTCGTAGGCGGTGACCAGTTCGGACTCGCCAAAGCCTCTGGTTTCGTCTGCGTTGGTGAAACGGACGGAAAGGGAGAGCTTAATTTTGCTCATGTAGAACTTGGTGATGAAGAGGGGAATCGGGAAGCTCGAGCTAGAATCAGCCAAGTTGACCAAATCGGTTTGGGGCTCGCCGAGGTAAGGATCTTTCGGGTCGCCAGGCCTCGATGGCGGCAGCGACAACTGCTTCTTCCGGGTAAGGATATCGGAGGTGATGCTCTCGGACAGAAGGATGAAGAAGCGGAAAATGTAATTAGAGGTAGGTGTTGCTGTTCGGTGCTAGCTTCTCCTGTAGTTATTTTTGCCGTTCCCATTTGCATTTTCTTTATTTGGTTTTCTCTCAGAAGGAGAGGCAAAAATAACGCCACCAAAAACACCTCCACCTAAGGCCTATTCCTAATGTAAAAAACGCTGGCAGAATCGACCGACACAATGATGCGGTTCGTGTGGCACTGAAAGGAGTCCCAGCAACGAATGCTGCCCTGCTCCTTCACCGCGGCAACGATGGTCACAAGACTGCCCGTTGTCTGCGCGAGTCGCTTTACCCACATCGACTGACTCTGTGCTGGTTTCACCATCGCCGATGCAGTCCGCTTCTCCTGCTCAATCAGAGCTACTTCCTGCACGCGGCTACGACGACTGGTCGTGGCGCGACGATAATGAAGCTGACGGTTGTGGTGGTGGTGCTGATTGTGATGGTGTGCGTGTGTGCCTATCACCTCTCCACCATCTGCGCCAGGTGGAATCGGCGAGCCTGGTCGACTCAAGTTTCGTGGAGCGTCTCCTCCTGCGCCACTTGGTTTCAAATCTGCAACTTCTCCTCGGCGCAGCGCTCGGCTGCTCCCCGGTCCCAGACCTCCGTCGCTCTCTCCTACCAGTCTTGCGTCGACATGTGAGGAAGGCACTGCCGCGCCAGCATTTGGCTTTCCGGTTCCCGCGGCAAGCTTCTTTTGCTTTTTCAGCAAACGCTGTCGTTCTCGCTCGCGCTTTCGGCGGTCCATATTCAGCAGCGAGCTCGCTACAAGCATGCGACTGGCTTCAGCGGCCTCCTGAAGAATGGGGGTTCGCACACAAATGACGTTGCTCTTATTCCCCGCGAAGTGAGTGTCAAACTGCAGCATGCCAACGCTTATTGCCCACAACTCCACTGATCGATCATACTCACCGGCGTGCGGGTCATACGACAGAATTTCCGAGCCTGACCCTGATCCTTGCGCTCCGAGGTCTCCGAATCCGTAAGCCTCGTAACTGCTCGAGGGCTGGTTCTTGGAGCTAGTCGGTACCAGTTCTGAATTGAACGTTCCCAGGCTCCTCCTAGTAGCACCTCTACCACCGACACCGCTGGCGGGCGACGCTGCTGGATTATGGTCAGAAGGAGAGTGAAAGAAGCCCTCTGTTGTTGATGGCGACCCGCCACCTGGCGAAGCGAGGATTGCCGCAGCTGTTCTATTGGATCTGGCTCCTGTTGGGCTCGAAGGGGACATGGAAACTCCGCGGAGATGTCTGCCCCCTTGGGTCTTGCGCCGGCTACCTTGCGCTGATGCCGTTGCGACGGAGCTTGCTGCAGCTACAACATGACCAATCGCGTCGGTCCCGCCTAGAGAGCGAATGTGCAGCGGATTGTACTTTCGATGCTCCACTTGAATCCTCTCGATCACTAGGAAACCGATCTCCTGCGGGTTGGCATCGTTTAAGCTCAGAGCGACACCCGCAACATTTGCGATGAACTTCACGTGAGAGTCCTCGAGCGTCGCGAAGAATACATTGTACATGTCGTCGTGCCGAGCTCGCGCAACGTAATTGTTCAAAGGGTAGGTGCTCAGAAGACGTTTCGATCGATCTCGACTCTGAAATAGGTCCACCACGGACGCCTTAGGCTGCGTTAGGCGAGAAGCAAATACCCGAGCACGCACTAGGCGCTTCAGGGTGTTCCGCGAGGCCATCTTCGCGCGGGGCAAGAGCTTGTCATGGGGAGTGACAAAGGTCATTCGCCCACGGAGGCTGTTTGGAAGGGTCGATGCGGTGTTGAACATGCGGCTCCTGGCGTGACTAGGCCCGCGCGATGATACCGAGGATACGGCGCTCATTCGCAGATCGTCAGAGGCTTCTGGAGGAACCGCCTCCGCCGCCGAGTCTCTGGTTATTCGGTCCTTTACTATACTCGCGGGTCTCGCCCCATCTGCATCTTCGTTTGATTCTTTGCCGTCTGATGATCGCGGCGCAGGAGTTGCTGCATCGCCAGCAGCCGCCAAATACGTACTTTGAGGCTGAAGCGCCGACGCTGCGCTCGCTGATACCGGTAATGAAGCGGGCTGGTTCTTGCTCCGACCGCCTCGAACCAGGAAACGCATCAGGCCACCCACGCTTTTCTTCATGCGGTCGCGAATTCCGAACTGAGACCCTCGCTGGCCGTCATTGCCACCCAAAGAGAAAGCAACAGTTCCACGCGTCTTTGACTGCTTTACACCAAGATTTTTTCTTGCTGTTGTGCGTCTTGAGTCGTCGTCGTCTCTCGGGTGCCCGTCCAAAAAATTGTGGGCCTCGCGCCCGTCACCTAGTGTACCACTATCATGTCTGATCCCGCCCCCAGTAGAGGACACCGACGCAGAACCGCGGCCCAGTGCTGTTTGCGCGGTCTCCTCGCGGCTGCCTCGGCCCAAAAGTCGAGGGCCAGCTCGATGAGGAAGGATTTGTTGCAACACTGCGCTGTGAGACGTACGAGATCGTTTGATCGGCTGCATGGCTTTCGGCAACGTCGATCCTCCGAGCACGCCTCCAAGTGCCGCTGACAACTTGCGCGCAACAGGCAGCACCTGAGGTGGAATGGCTGCCGAGACGAGCGGCGGAGGCACTAGCGGCGCTGTGCCTTCGCTAGGAGGTCTGCGAAGCGCTCGCTTGACGCGCAGATCTGCTCGCGAGCGCGCTGTCTGATCTAGGGGAATATAGCGGAAGATGATCGTCCGTGTTGGAACTTGCTGCATACCCGATAGATTGCCTCGCCCCGCAGGATCGTCACTTCCAGCACCTCTGTCAGCGCTGTGCCCAAACAACTTTGACGTGAAAGAGTTACTGCGTCGCAGGCCGGGCCTAGCATTATCTCCGGAAGCTGTCTGCGCGGCACCTCCTGGTGCGGGAAGAGTCGATGGCGGAGATAGTCGCGCAAAAGGCGGACCCATGTAGTCAGAGGATACAGCTTCTGCACTACCTAGTGGTCCGCCCCCAGAAGGCGTGCTCATTTCTCCGGGTGATCGGGCACGATTCAATTCGCTGCGTGGGGACATGGATGCGCTCCTCTGGTTCTGAGGAAAAGCCGAGGCCATCTGCTGACTCATCTGAACGTGCTTCATGTAGTTGTTGCGAAAGCCGGCGGTCGCGATTTTCGATGCCACACTCACGTGTGCACGCATGCGGTCAAGCGGCGTCTTGATTACAGAATATACAAGAGCTCCCTTCTGCGACCGGTGTAAAATCTTATCTTTGCAATAATACAACAAGCTAATGTGCTTTGTCACCCACCCTCCGTGCTGCAGTAGTGTAGCCGCTTTGGTAGCAGCATGCATTTCGTGTTCTGCCTCTCCGCTGTGTGCCGCGGCTAGCGGTGAATAGAACCCTTGCCTTCGACCGCCTCGGAGTGGCGGAGATTGCAGCTGAGAGCCTCTTGGCGGGGAATTCTTGGCTGCGTCGGCGTCTGGAGCGTCTGGATCCCGAAAAGTTACAGTGAGCATCCCCGTTGTGCTCGCGGTACTAGTAACCGCAAGATGTGAAGGCCGCGGACCGTGCTCGCCTCCATTCCGCAGATACTCAGCATAGGAATCCGGATCACGAATATAGTGTGGTCTATGAAATGCAAAGGGCATTGGTTCCTTCTCTCCCGCTCGCATCTCGGTTCCGAGAGGGGCGTCACTCAAATTACTAAGTTGCTGTCGCAATGCTTCCTGTTCCTGCTCCCTTTCAATTTCACGTTGCGCAGCTGCATCCGCGATTCCACCCGTCCTTCGCGCAGCTCCACTGCCTGTAGCGAGATTGTTTGCGAGAAGGCCAGGCATTAAATTGCCGGCGGGCGGTGCTGGCCAACCCTGTGGCAACTGTTGCAAGCCACCGGCAGCCAACTGTGTTCCGCGGCTGATGCCTCCGCGAATGCGCAAAGTGTCCATATTAGTACTAGAGTTTTGCATCATCACGATCTGAGAGGTGTACTGCACATCATCTATTGCACTTTTATTCGAGAGAATTCAGTCGGAATCCTCCACATGGGAAGATGATGAAAAAATTACTGGTCTTAACTACAGTGCCACCCGCGATCGACATTGTCTTGCGAGATATATGCTTGGCACCGGAAAAGAACTCTTCTAAGTTCTTGGAAGGCGCATGCTGAAGCATTGCCTGCGCGCCGGCTGCTATGCCATGCTCAACAGGTGTGGTGACTGCTCCTGAAGCCCCGTAAATGAGGTTTTCAGCGAACTGCAAGCCTCCTCCTAGCCCCGCAGAAGAACCCGGAGGTCCGCATCTTATTCCAACATTTTTGTTCTGGAAAAGCTCGCTAAAGTCACGAGATTGCTCCGTCGCGCGTTCTTTCTTAGAGGCAGCAAGAAGACGAGCCCATTTGAATTTGTCCGGACACCTTTTGCTTTTATATATTTATAAGTAATTTAGCTCTCAATCTCTATTTACACGAAATCTATTAGTTGTAGCCAGCGATGAGTGAAACTGAAAAAGATGCGTGTCTTAAGCATATTTCTTGTCTCCTGTTGCGTCATGCGCAAGGTCCGCTTCGACTGAGCTCCACCATTGTCGGATAACAATGCTGCATCCTGAAACTGTTCACGTACAAAGAGCGACATGCCAGAGTAATTTTCTAACCAGAAAGGAGCTTCTAGTGCCGCGTCCACTGCATCAACAACCCAGCATTCCAGACGGGAGTCGTAACTAAGGCAGAGCTTTGTAAAGTCCCATTCTGCGGGACTTCGACTCTGCGCCCCTTCTTCCAGGGGACAGTTCGGATGGCGGACCACGTAACTCTTCTGTAAAAACTGCGTGTTACCGTGTTGTCCATGGGCGCGATGGTGATGATGGTGATGATGCAGACGCGGCATACCTGCTGCGCCCGTTGCAGGACTCCTGCCGATGTACTGCTGAGGTGCAGGGCTCGCGCCAATCCTCAGAGAGATATTTCTCTTTGAGGTCTTGGCGCCGCCCGGCGTGGAGGCTCCCAGCTGCATGCCTTGGCTTCGCGGGGTACCTCCACTTGGATCAGCAGAAAACCGCTGGAATGGCATCGGCCAAAAGAGCGGCGTCGTCACACTTGCGCCCGTTACTGGACATCGGTTCAGGTGGTGTTTCCGAAGCAGGCCTAGGTAGGGTTCTTCGATGACATTCTGAACAATTTTTCGGAAGAACGTTCTTTCCGGCTTGCGGGGAACCATCACTGGGTAGCTCCACACGGTTTTCTCCTCTTTCCATATGTCGGCGAAGAGTGCGATGGAAAGACAGAGTCCCACGTTTCCCTCCGGATGCTTTTGCGGCGAGAATGCGACTGATCCACCGGCGGGAACCCAATCAGAACTGAGAACCCGACGGCCACCGCCTTTCTGGCTGCCGCGCAGCGTGGTCCCCAACTGCAAACCACTACCTGCTACTGCCGACCCCATTTGAAAGGCCGCGCCGAATTTCTTGCGACCCGTGGTGGCTCCAGCAGCAGCGGTATTGGCTGCTGCAACTGCAAATGCTCGCGCCTGGCTTTTCGATTTGGCATTCCAGCCACTCACCCCTCCGCTGCTCGGTGACTTAGCATCCGGTGGCGCGGCTGCTCCTTCCTGTCGAACACGAGAATCGCTTGCCCCGGCGACCATCGTTCGCTCAAGCCTTCTCGTTGCCTTGCGTGCTTTCTTTTGTCGTTTTTTAGTGGAAGTGATTCCGAGGGCGTCAGCTTCCGCAGGCTCTGAGGGATGCTTTTTGCGCTTCAGTTTGGCGCCGATGACGGCGCTGATATGTTTCGGGTTCAGCAGCGAGCGTAAGCCCTTAGGAGACTGGATTGCACCGTCCTGCGTCTCGGAGTCGCGAGCTCGCGCTCTGGCACCGCTCACCATCGGTATCAATCGAGTTGTCAGGCGCTGCACTGTCTGTTCAAGCTTCATCCGCTTGAGCCGCTCGCGGTTCGGAGTTACTCTAGACGAAAGTCCTTGTTCATCCGTCCCACTGGCGCGGCCCTTTTGTCCAGTTTCACCCGGAGCGTCTGGCAGGAGATCTCTGACAGAGCTGCGACGCTTCAACGAAGCTATGCTTGGGCTACTCTCTGCTGGACTTCCGCCTTCCTGGGCTGAGACTGTAGAGCCGGGGCCACCCTCGCTCTGCTCCGCGATGGGACTCATCGTTGGTACGGCCGAGGTGCCACGACTTCCACCAAAAATCGAAGCGCCGGCCACTGCATTTGCAATGCCAGCCATCTTCCCTTGGACAAGGCCCCTCGCACTTCCTCCTGTAGTTTGCTCTTCGCGTGTATCGAAAACTTCTGCTGCATCTTCCGTACCGGCGTCTTCGTCTTCGCTATCTACTTCGGAGTCGTCCTCCTCATCCTCGCTAGAAGAGGAGCTCGAAGACATGCCCTCCTCCTCATCCGACGATCCCGCCTGGTGGACCTCGCGCGTAGAGTCTCCTGCACCCTGGGTTGTTCGAACAACGTGCGGGGCGATGGATACACTACTGCCGCCCGCTTCTTCGGCGATGTGACGAAGAAGCAAGCTGCCGCCTGGTTGCTCGTCCTCGTCTGCACCGCGTGCCACAACCGGCGCCGCAGCAATGGACACCGAGCTTTGCGATTCTGTTCCAAGCGGTTCAACAGCAGATCCTTCGGCGGCGACATGCGGCGCGCTTCGTATACCCGCAGATGAGTCGGTCTTTCGAGCCCCGCTTGAACTGAGCGCACTCGGCGTTGCTGCAACGCGGTCCCACCGCTGTAGGCCTGGGGAGACGAAGAGATCGTCATTCTTAAAGTTTCGAAACAAGATCCACGGGTACACGATTACCTCACGTGTCCCGCCGTTGACAACTGTCGATACAGAGTACTCCTCTTGTCGCAAATTGTAGTGCGTCTCGCGGGTCCGCAGTTTTCGCAGGAAAGCTTTTTCTCGAATAGGATGCCGGTGTTGTGAAGGATGAAGCGGGGGTGGCATACTCGTTGTTGTCCCAAAATAGACAGTATTTTTAGTATTTTTGACGGATGAAGGTGGTATTTCTTCTGAGGGCAGGGCCGAACTAGCGCTAGAGGGCCAACCAGGAGTACCCCATGCCTTCACAAAGTTGGCTTCGAGGTCGCGCTGCGAGAGAGCGCTACCCTCTGGTCGTCCCTTGACAAGGGGAGCCCTACTAGCACTAGCTTCATCCGAAGAGTCTCTTTTGCTGAAGTTCGGAAGGGTGACGGATTTTCGAACTTCCGGTGGTGGATGCCGCTGCCCTTGAGTGCCTGCAGCTTCAATATCGCCATTCACGAACTGCTCGAGGGAACTAAAAGCAGACACTGTCGAAGCGCGGCTCTCCCGTCGCACGCCAGGTGGCGAAGGCCGCCTCTCGCCTGGCTGCGACGCTTGTAATTGTGTTTCGAGTGATACGAACGAGATGTCATTAGGATTCGTGGGTTCCGCAGATCGCTGCAAGTGGTCCTGCTCGGTGCCCTCTTCGCCGTGCTGCTCACCAACGGGGCTTTCCTGCAACGCCTGATGTCTGCCTTCAACCGCATTTCGAGCTGGCGAAAGTCCGGCCTCGGCGTCTGCATGGACAGAGAGAGCAGGGCTCTCGTCTTCGTCAGGAATAAGCGATAGATTCGTAGCGAACGAAGAGCCAGCCGCAGTAAGACCACCAGAACTGCTGGTCTTGCCTTTCTGTTGCAAGGCACTGGGGAAAGATTTTGCAACCACGTCGTGCGTGTGTATTCGGCTTTCAGGATAGAAGGCGAGGGCGCGTTTCTTGCTTTCGCCTTCGTCTTCGGTTTTTGCTGGCGCTAGCTCCTTCTTGCTGTCGGTATGTGGTCGCGTACTCGCTGTAGCTGGGCCATCCTCCTCTGACGTTGAAGCTGACTTTCTATCCTTGCTGCCAAGGCTCTTGCCGAGAAGAGAGTCGAGCATGTTTACAGAGCGCGATTTGCTCCGGGTGCTGTTGCCCGTGTACATGCTTTCCTTGCCATCATGATCGTGCTTTTCCCCTCGTTGATGTAAGTTCCCAGCCCTAGCATCTTCGTCTGTATCTTCTGCATCAATATCCCCTTCCTCATCTTCTTCGTAACGACCCAGCGCGCTTGTGCTGACGCCGCCAACGACTGTTATTTTTTTGCCAGCCGTTCGCGCCGCCTTCACGAAGGCGCCGCCAGCCCTGTTCATGTTTTGTAAGGCAGTAGCTCGCGTCGTACCCGCGTGGATCGAGCTACGATCACTCACCGCTTTGGCAACAGAAATGCTAAGTCCTCCTACAGCTTTTACCAAGGTTAAGGGATCCTTCTGGAACTGCTCTGTCATCGAGTCCCATAGCCAAGTGTTGCTTGGCGCATAGATGTTCTTCCCGCCGTTGTTTTCGTCCTTAAGCGCCATACTCTCTGCAGGGCGTGTAGATTCAAGAAAAGCCTGATAAGTGGGCGACCACTCGAGAGGCTGCGGTAATCTTCGAGGGGCTATCAGCTTCTCACGATGCAATTGCACAGAAGCAATGTCAAAAACTGCACTCGCACTAAGCATTTCTAACTCCTCTTGCAGTACTGCAGCGGAATCGAGGCCATCGCGGTCTATTCCGGTTCCCGAAAAATTAGAGAATTTCCTGAAAAAAGAACAAAGATAGATGACATGGATCACACTACGATCATCGTATTCAAATATGGAGTGCCTCTCAGTAGACTTTATGAATGTAGAAGAAGATCCTGATCCAAGGTGCTACTTCTACCGCTTGTCAACTCGACAACTTCAATTTCGTCATCAAGACGCTATTTCATAAACTTCTCCAGCGCACATGTTGTGCTCTCATGCACGACCACTTCCAATTTGAGGTGAAACTCCTCGCGTCCCTGTTGCGGTTCACACCAAGCGAAATTCGTTTTCTGGAGGTGCTCAAGAACTAGGGGAACTTTCAGGGGATCACCCACGTTCGTCGTCCCCGTTCGTGCTTGCCTAAGCAGCGCGTGAAGAGTCATTTTTGTCAGGTCCTTTACTGCTTTACCCTGCGCAAGCGCCGTTAATTCAGAGGAGACGCTCTTGCGGTGCACCTGCGTCAGCACAAGTGGATGTGGCGTCAAATTTGCGATTCGATAGTCTGGGACTGGCGGGTCTTTAAATCTGACGACGGTAATTAGAGCCTTCCCTATTATCAATGATCATCAACATGAACTACATCATTCACATTAGCTTTAAAAGAAGCTGTTGCCGAACGTCAGAATTACAATTATCCTAGTAATTCGTTACTCGATGAAGAAAAAGACATCAACTCGGCTGCGCTTCTCAGTACATACGTGCCTCCACGTCTGAGAATAGAGACAAGCGGCCTTGTTATCTTAACATTGAAACAAAGTGAACACCAAAATTATCAAGAAAAAGACGTCATAATATAAGCAGCATGACGAAAGTTGAAGCATCACAAGAACATAAAACATTGAAGAAAGTGAGGAACATACAAAGTGAAGCTTTACTAACCCTGTGCTTGAAGTGAATGGACAAGTTGACTGTTTCAGGCAGCGGATGTGATTGAAGAAAGTGAAGAACAATAAAAGAAGCAAACGACGTCTTAATATTGATGCGGATTGGTTCACGCTCTGCAATATTTCCACCATCGAAATGCAGAGGTGGACTTGTTTAGGGAGCAAGGGTACGAATGGATCGGGGGTAGATGCGGCGCCTTTTGCTGATATATGGATATCGGCAGAT